TGGAGAGCCCAGAAATCAGCCCCAACCAATACGCTCAATTAATATTTGACAAAGGAGGCAAGAACATACAATGGAGTCAAGATAGTCTCTTCAATAAATGGTGTTGGGAAAATTGGACAGATACATGCAAGAAAATGAAACTAGACCACCAACTTACACCATACACAAAAATAAACTCAAAATGGATAAAGGACTTAAATATACGATGGGAAATCATACAAATACTAGAAGAATCCAAAGGCAACAAAATCTCAGACATATGCCGAAGCAATTTCTTCACCGATACAGCTCCTAGGGCATTGGAAACTAAAGAGAAAATAAACAAATGGGACTACATCAAAATAAAAATCTTCTGCACAGCAAAAGAAACCATCAACAAAACAATAAGAAAACCCACTGCGTGGGAAAACATATTTGCCAATGTCATATCTGATAAGGGCCTAATCTCCAAAATTTATAGGGAACTCATACAACTTAACAAAAGGAAGATAAACAATCCAATCAAAAAATGGGCAAAGGACCTAAATAGACACCTTTCAAAAGAGGACATTCAGAAAGCCAAGAGACATATGAAAACATGCTCAAAGTCACTAATCATCCGAGAGATGCAAATCAAAACAACAATGAGGTACCATCTCACACCTGTCAGACTGGCTATCATCAACAAATCAACAAACGACAAGTGCTGGAGAGGATGTGGAGAAAAAGGAACACTTGTGCACTGCTGGTGGGAATGCAGACTGGTGCAGCCACTATGGAAGACAGTATGGAGTTTCCTCAAAAAACTACAAATGGAACTCCCATTTGACCCTGTGATCCCACTTCTAGGAATATATCCCAGGAAACCAGAAACACCAATCAGAAAGGATATATGCACCCCTATGTTCATAGCAGCACAATTCACCATAGCTAAGATCTGGAAACAGCCTAAGTGCCCATCTGTAGATGAATGGATTAGAAAACTGGTACATCTACACGATGGAATACTATGCTGCTATAAAAAAGAAGGAACTCTTACCATTTGCAACAGCATGGATGGAACTGGAGAGCATTATGCTAAGTGAAATAAGCCAGTCAATGAAGGAAAAATACCACATGATGTCACTCATTTCTGGATAATAAAGACCATTATAAACTTATGAACAAAAATAGATACAGAGGCAGAGCTGCCTCGAACAGACTGTCAAACTACAGCAGGAAGGCCGGGGAGGGTGGGAGGGTAGGAGGGGGGTGGGTAAGAGATCAACCAAAGGACTTGTATGCATGCATATAAGCATAACCAATGGACATAAGACACTGGGGGGGGGTAGGGGAGCCCAAGGGATTGTCAAGGGCGGGGGAAAAAAAAAAGGAGACATATGTAATACTCTTTGTAATACTTTAAGCAATAAAAAAAAAGTATTTACCCAATTAAAAAAAAATTGAAAGTTAAAACTTAGGCTGTGCAAATAGCACTACATTAATTTGGTCTCTTGGAGAATAGTGTGGTAATATACAAATCACAGCAACAACAAATTGATAAAGATTAATAAAACACAAAAATCTTATTAAAATAATCTTCAATAAGTTTCAATTAGTTATATTTTGATCATAAAGGATCTTTATTAAAGAATGCCAAAACCAAGTATTTTTAAAAAATTATATAACCTAATAAAAACTGACATGAAATTGTTTTATTTAAAATTGTTATAATAAAAAACAAATAGACATTTGTAAGATATTTATCTCATTTTAGAAAACATAGGCTTTAAGGATTAAAAGTAACTTTTCAAACTCGTTGCCAGAATTAAAATTTCACATCACAGAAGTGTTTTAATAACAAATAATGACCAACAGATTACAACACCAAAGCTGTACAATAAATAAAAAAGCTTTCTAATTTTTTTTACCAAGATATCATGAATTGATAAAATAACAATAGAAAGTTAACATTAATTTCCGAAAAAAAGGCACATCCAGGCAAAATAGTCAAGGCGACTTATAAAATGCAGCGTAATGTTTATATTGTGCATGATCAATTGAACGCAATAAATTACTCTGGAAGATTCTAAAATATGGCAGTAATAGATTGTAAAGCTGGGCAAATAAGACACCCCCCTCCTTAATAGCGTATTTTGTTCCCCAAAGTGCAGTTCAGAACTATCTGAAATGTCATGCTTCCCTGCACACAGGTTTTGCTTTGCAAAGTTGTTTATCATCTTGATGCCTCAGAGACTTGACCGCCGGTCTGGCCGCGGCACGCACTTCGTAATTGCGGCTCTCCACAGCACTGGGGCCAGTAAGAGACTGAGCGTGGTCACACTCAGGATCAGGAGGTACACCTGCAACAGGAAAACTGAGCGTCATCTCAGGATTAAGAGGTGCACCTGTAACAGGTAAATCTGGGTGTGTCCCTCAGGATTACTATGACCACCTCAAACCACAGATATACTCTCAGGTACACCCCTATACAGACACAGGTACCTCAACATTTGGATGTGAGGTGGACTGAGGTTAGACCATCAGTGGAAACTTGTCAGGTCGATGCATCACTGGTGCACAGACTGGAGTCTGTGCAATCGGAGTCACCCCTTGGGCTCAGTAGGCAGTCAGACCGACCCCTTGGGGGTCAGTTGGAGTGAGGACACAGGCTCAGGGCAGGTCTCCGATGGAGCTCATGCATAAATTCCATTCTCCCGCAATGGTTTTAAGTGCTCTTTAATAGCAGGACTTGCTTTCCTCACACTTATGGATACAAGGAGACAACCACGTAATTTTGAATGCCTGCCAGCATTTCACATGTACCAATTAGAGCTTTTATATTCATTCAGTCCACATGTATGAGGGAGCAGGTGTGCAGGTCCAAATATTCAGTGTCACGTGGCTGGGTGGACTTTCCTGACACCATCACAACTTGGGGAGGGACGCTGTAAGGCAGGGCAGTCAGGAGGCCCTCTTGCTGTGGCCCCTGCCCTAGGGAGGGGAATGAGAGTAGGACAGACCCCTTCAGGCCCAGAAGTTCAACTGTGCTGATGTAGACATCACAAGGGGCAAAGAGTGACACTCAGATTGCAGAAGAGGGCTATAGAGTCAAAAATGATTTTAAATAGAAGTTACTATTAGGAACTTGTGTGTCTGGAAATCTATGACTTAAAAACATCCTGAAGTTAACTGTTTCTACCCTGGGAAACACAAAAACAGCTGATTTCCACAGTCTACATAGCACGCAGTTTTCCAGCCCGGCACACATGTGATTTCTTAGTGAACGAGCAGTTCAAAAGCAGGGAGTTCAAATTCCTATACTATTACCCAACATTTTATACATTCAACAACAACAAAACTCCCTTTGATGTCCATCTTGTTTTCACTGAAACAGTAATGCTCTGTTTGTAGTTATCAAATACTTTCCATAGTTACAGCATCCATTTGCCCTTAGCTCACTCAGGGCTAATACTCAACTCCGTTATCTGGTCCTGGAAGCATATTCAGGTTTTAAACATTACACCTTTAACACCAGGAAGCACAGAGTGCGGCATATTTACCCATGGGGTTGGGAGTCCTTTTTTCACTTTAGAGCCACACCCCACCACCCATCACAGAAAAAAACCTCCTTATCAAATTTAGTGACAATCATGGATCATCAGATGATACTTATCAAATTCTAGTTCATAGCCAGTTAAAAAAGGGCAAATAATAAAGTTTAAAAAAGTAAAAATGGGCAAAAATGCAGAGGAAAAATGTAAGTGCAAATGGAAGGTGGACACACACTCATGCGCACACACGATGCTCACACATCAGCAAGAGGAGTGTCTAACGGGACAGTGACGAGGCACCTGCCCGACCAGAACACTTGCAGGGAGCGGGTGGAGACTCACCTCCCGAGAAATGATGCCAGCTCTGCGCGCTCTGCTCCCCAGGACAAAAGAGAACTCGCTGACCTGGGCCAGCCCCGCGGCCACGATCCACTTGATGTACTGGCTGGTTTTCGGCAAGAGGAGAGACAAGACCAGTGCTGCCAGAACAAACTGCGAGAGTGCCCGTGTTACTGCTTAATCAGAGCCCTGGTGGCCAAGCACCCAGGACAGAGAGGACACAAACGCCGGGGCAGCCCTCGAATAACACACAGAGGGGACATACAGAGAGGCACTTCTATGCTGAAGGCACCAAAAAAACACAAAATGTCTGAAATAAAACCACACAGAACACCAAGGCCAAATCCAGGGTTTAGGTTCCCTTGCAGAAAACAAAACCTTCCCCCCCACCCCTGCCCCAAACTAAATGAACAGCATTAAATATTATACAGCGTTCAAATGGAAATTTTATTTTTAATAAGAGAGAATGTATTTCTCTCATGTAAGCAATCTCCAGAGGGGTGAGCAGCCTGGAGCTAGTAGGGCAGCTAGACCATCATCGGGGATTCTGGCTCCTTCCAGTGGAAATATTTTAAGTCAATTTCTATAATCCACAAAGCCAGATAGCTACAGAGCAGGTCCGGACATTAAAAGTTAATACAGGGAACGCAATGATTTGTGCCCTTGGAGGACAGACAGGGAGAGTGGTGAAATAATTCTCCTGACTTCCCTGGAGGACCCAGAGAGCTATCTAACTCCAGCTATCTTTCTCCCATTCCAGATTCAAACATACTCAATTCTGAGACAAACAAAGGAAAACACATCCAAACCACCTGTATCCTAACCCAGACCTTCCCCAGGCGGTGGGGTGGCCGGAGGGGGAGGAGGGGCATCACAGACAGGCGTTCCAGGTAAGTGGCCCTGCCGGCGGCTCACAGACTCGGCATCGCTGTGGGCAGGCACTCAGGCCCAGCAGGAAGTACGTGCGAGTGTGACATGTAAACCCCAAGATAACCGGGGTGTGACCCATCACGAATGACTGAGAGGCTCGGTACCTTCATGATCACCACCGCCAGCGTGAGGACCATCAGGATGGTGAGCTCGTACACCACGAAAGTGGGAAACACGTGGAGGCCTGTGAGGAAGAGGACGGGCATGGGAATTCTTTCAGGATCACACAGCCCATCTCCGAACAAATACACGCCTGCCTCTCACTGATAAACCGATTAACTCTCAAGCTCCTCAGACGTGTTTCACTAGAGGGAAGAATTCTTGTGAGCACCATCCTGTTGTGCTGTTTGTTTATGCAGAGAGCAAGGCTGACACCAAACTGACTGGAGCCAGGACTTAGTGACATTAACAAAGTGCAGGGAGATGAAGTCCACGTTACAATGGCTTTGCCACATATAACTGTGACAGGAGGGCAAGCAAGCCATGTTATAGTTTTTCTCCTTAAAGCCACTCATTCTTGCAACAAACACCAAATGTGTACCTGGACTAGCACAACGGTAAAGCGTACAGGCTCTGGGCTAAAATCCCGGGCCTACCACTAACCAACGGTAGGTGCTGGCATGCCTCTTACCCTCTCTCTGCCTCAGCTTCCTCATCTGTAGTTGTGGATTTGGCCAGTGAGTGGACACAGCATGACATGTAAAGCAGGTACCCGTGTTTATAAACAATTGTCCTCGTGGTCACTACGTACACACACCAGGCCCACAGATAGGAAAGTGAGCCAGGATCCAGGGCTGCAAGGTGCTAGGTAGCATTGACATGTGACAACTGCCTCAGGGCACCTCCAAGAACCACATGACCAGCACTCTCCCACTTGAGCAGGAAAAGCCCCCCTGCACTCTGGGCCGAAGACTGCCCTTCGCTGTGATGTTCTAAGGAGGCCTCTCCTCAGGAGCTCAGCCTGAGTCCCTCACTCCCATTTGCTAGTGGCTGTGACCCCAGGACCCACTCTTATCACCCAGAACCGAATGTGGCTCATGGGCGCTGGATGGTGCAGCTGGATGCAGGTCATCTTTGTGGTTCTGACAGGGCCTGGCTGGGGCAGGAGGTCGATGAATGTTTGCTAAGCACAGGACCCCACCATTCATTTACATGTCATCGAGGGCTACGTATGCAGAAAAGCAAAGGTGTCTTCTTAAACAGATGCTGGTAACTTGTTGCTTAGAACCCTGGAACAAAAAAATTATGTCCCTGAGCAGTCAGAGGATAAAAACCTGATTGTACACGTGTTTCTCAGTTGGCAAGGAAATTAACCTGAATTCCTTTTGATATATTGAGTGTGAATAACCAAAGCAAAAAGTACAGTGGTTATTGTTATAAAGCATGGCTCTTAATAAATCAAGAATCCCAATCTGAGAAATATTAGAGCAAATCTGTCTGTTTTAAATAACGTGTTTGTGAAGTTTTAGTTTTTTAATAAGCGAGCATTCAGGAAGCGGGGCAGGCAGGACACAGGGTGGAACAGCTAGTCAGGGTGACCTGGGGCGGGGAGCGGGGGCTCTTAGGAATGGAACGCAGGACTGGATAGTGGTGAGAATAGGGTTACAATTTAATCAATTTTATTAGGCCTTGTCTGAAAAAGAACTGGCAGAAAAGAAGTGAATCATCAACCAGGAATGGAAGTTCAAGGAATCAGAATCGGCAGCTTCCTTAGCATGCTGAGGCAGTGTTTCCAGCAGTGGAGTGAAGGGGAAGGAAGAGGCAGAAGAGACGGCCAAGGAGAGAAAATGAGGGGAGGAGGGGAGACAGAGAGACACACACGAGGGGGCAGAGAGATGAGGAGAGAAGGGGCAGAGAGGACGGAGCAAACATCCGTCGAGAGGGGCTTTCTCAGGGACACATCCGATTACTAACACTGCTTGTGAATGCTCTCATGTCACCTCTTTATTTCTTTTTCTTTTAAAAAAATATATTTATACTAGAGGCCAGTGCACGACATTCGTGCACTGGGGGGTGTGGGGGTCCCTCAGCCCGACCTGCACCCTCTCCAATCTGGGAGCCCTCAGGGGAGCCCTCTCCAATCAGGGAGTTTCTATCTGTCTTTGCAATCATATGAGCGAATTGTCTGAGACCCCAACTCAGTTTGCTTTGTTGCTCACAGAATAACAGAGGCATTTTTTTTTCTTTGCTTCATTGGTGGAGATTTCCTGGAAGTTTTAGGATATCTTCCCTTTAATTTTTCCTAGACACTCTGATTTTACTTATGTCTCTCACCTTTGCTTTCCCTCCATCCCCCACCGCAATAATAACTTGCTCCAGGCTCACTTTGCTGTAGTGTCTAGGACAGCGGTTCTCAACCTGTGGGTCGCGACCACTTTGGGGGTTGAACGACCCTTTCACAGGGGTCGCCTAAGACCATCGGAAAACACATATATAATTATATATTGTTTCTGTGATTAATCACTATGCTTTAATTATGTTCAATTTGTAACAATGAAATTGGGGTCACCACAACATGAGGAACTATATTAAGGGGCCACGGCATTAGGAAGGTTGAGAATCACTGGTCTAGGAGATCCATCTGCCACCAGAACTACGATTCTCAGCATTCCTGATGCTCCCTGCGCTCTTGGTTTTCCCTTCCTGCTCTGTCTCTGTCCCATGCCTCCCACTCTGTCAAGTCCTCCAAGCCGCCAGCTCTCCCTCTCTGCTCTCTGTCTGGTGGGTTGGGAAAGCCAAGTTCCCCAAGCCGCTCCACTCTCCGCCGGCTCTCCCGCACTGCTCTCCACCCGGCAGCTTGGGGGAGCAACCGAGGGAGCCACGTCCCCCCCAAGCCGCCGGCTCTCCTGCTCTGCTCTCCGCCCAGTGCCTGTGTATGCAAATTAACCTGCCATCTTTGTCAAGTTAATTTGCATACTCACTCCTGATTGGCTGGTGAGCATAGCAGAGGGATGGTCAATTTATATGTTTCTCTTTTATTATATAGGAGGATTGATTTCAGAGAGGAAGGGAGAGGGTAAGAGAGATAGAAACATCAATGATGAGAGAGAATCATTGACTGGCTGCCTCCGGCACACCTCACACAGGGGATCGAGCCCGCAACCCAGGCATGTGCCCCAACCAGGAATCAAACTGACCTCCTGGTCCATAGGTCAATGCTCAACCCCTGAGCCCACTGGCTGGGCTTATTTCAACTCTTTCAAGTGTGACCCTCCCCTTGCGTTTCCTTTGAGAACTGTCTTGGCTCTTCAGGGCCTTTCACATTTCCATTTTAATTTTAGAATCTGCTTTTCCATGTTCTGAAAGTCTTGCTGGGATCACACAGAACCTGTTGACTAGTGGAGAGTGTGTGGAACTTTCCAGGCCGTAAGAGGGCGAGAACAAGGAGGTGCCAAGCGGAAATGCTGCAACACAGAGGCTGGGATTCTGTACCGCTGGTCCTCTCCAGGACTGGCCACTAAGATACCGACACACGGAAATCTTCAGAGCAGCATGCGCCCTGCCAATTTACTTTTTTTGTATAAAAATTAGTATTTCCTCCCAAGCTTCCCATTTTGATGCACTGATGTTAAGCTGCTAACCTGCTGAGCACCAGGGAGGGCCCTTCCTATGGAGTCAAAATGAGAGTCGTCTTCCCTGAGGACGTCTGAGCCTTTACACTCCTTCCTACACGTGCATCTTAGCATTGATGGGCATGGCAACCAACCAGCAAATTAACATCCCTTAGTTCAAACTTTCCCTCTTTTTAAATAAGATTTCTCCTCAGACTCTAATTTTTATGGGAACTGTTTCCACTGTCTAGTCTACAAATAAAAATACATAAAGAGATTACAGAGGTAATCTGCAAGTGTTTAACAAACACAATTCAAACATTCCGATGTAAAGCAGAAAGTTACCTATGGAGGCAAAGAAAATGATCGCCAGGAAGTCGCGGATCGGCTCGATGTAAGACACAATCTCCTCGGTGACCATGTGGCCTTGGGAGGAGATGAGCGCTCCGGCCAGGAAGCAGCCCAGCTCCATGGACACATCCAGCAGCTCTGTGACCTGGGGAGGGAAGGACACGTCACACACACAGTGCCGCCAGTGACCAACGGCTCTGCCCAAGTCGGATTCACACCCAAACACAGCCTGTAGGTCTAGCAGGACCATCACAATAAAGCTGTGAAAATCAAATCCCGCTGTACATCTGTGAAATCCTCAGTGGAGCCTCTGTGGGGATGACCGAGAGACAACATGAGGAAGCTAATATGAGCTGAACTAACCATACAGGGAGGAAAAAATTAATTTAAAACATTTGAAACAATTCGCATAGACAGCTGTGAAACTTTTGAATTAAAGTATTTTCCAAACTTTATTTTAAATATTTGTGATACATTTTCTTTACTTTGAATCAAGGAAGAGCCTGACTATGGCTTAAAAAATGTATTGTAGCCCTAGCCAGTTTGGCTCAATGGATAGAGCATTGGCCCTCAGACTGAAAGGTTCCAGGTTTGATTCGGGTCAAGGGCACAAACCTTGCTCACAGGCTCGATCCCTGGCTTTAGTCAGGGTACCTGTAGGATGCAACCAATGATGTCTCTCAAAGAAACGTTTCTCTCTCTCCTTCCCACCCTCTCTAAAAATCAATGGAGGAGGATTAACAACAACGAAAGTATTGTAGTCCTGACTGATTAATGTGTCTCTCTCACATCAATGTTTCTTTTCTCTTTCTCTCATTTTTTTCCTCTCTCAAATCAATAAAAAAATTTAGAAAAATGTTTTGTATAAAAAACTATTCCCATCACCAACAAACTGCTTAGAGAAAGCAGACACAGCTAATAAGCAATTACCTGGAGATGGCAGGAAACCAGAGGGAAGCACCAGCGAATGTAGACATGACTAGATTCAATAATGCCAGGTTCAGATAGAATAGTTATGGATCATTAGGCTTCTACCAATATAGTTCTGTTAAATGCACAGTTTCAGACTTCTTTATGTGACATTACTGATGCAAAACAACTAGAAAGATGCCTTTTTAATTTGAGACAGTAAAACTACAAATGATAGCAGCGACAGACACATAGGGGGGGAAATGAACTTCTGAAGAAATACCATTTACAGTAACATCAAAACTCATCAAACACCTCGGAATAAATAAAAGAAGTGCACAACTTCCGCGCCAAACACTACAAAATGCTGCTGAGAAACACAGATGAGGACCTCAGTAAACAGAGGGTGTGTGCCACACTCAGGAGGGAAAATGTCACTTTCCCTCAACTGGCCTACAGGCCCACTGGAATCACAACAGAACTTGTTGTGTGTGAAAAGTGACAAGTTGAATCTAAAAACATACATGGACACTGGAAAGACCACAAATACAGGGTAGGAATAAAGTAGGTTTACAGTTGTGAGTACGAAAAATACAGTTTATTCTTGTATTATTATTTATTAATGATATTATTTTCCATACGAACAACTGTAAACCTCCTTTTGCCCACCCTGTAGAGCCAAGACAACCCTGATGGCGAAGGAAGCTGCCGCTACACTGCCAGCTGTGAGGGCAGGTATGCTGGCCAAGGGAGCAGAGTGCAGGTCAGAAACACACACACGCACACAAGCACTCACATGGCCTCTTGGGTTTTGACAAGGTGACCCTGCACAGCAGTGGGGGAGGGTCTTTCAGCACACAGTGTGGGGAAAAGCCTGTGAAAAAACAAATTCCACTTCCTTCCTTCATGTGTTACACTCACCTCCAGATGGACAGGTCTAAACAAGATAAGTGAAGCAGTAACACTTCCAGAGGGCAACAGGGGGTATCTTCGTGATCCAGGAGTAGGCAAAGGTCTTTTTTTTTTTTAATCCTCACCCAAGGATATTTTTTCCCATTGATTTTTAGAGAGCGGAAGGGAGGGAGAGAGAGAAAGAGAGAGAGAAATGGAGGGAGGAAGAAAGGGAAGAGAGGCGGGGAGAGAGAAACATTGACGTGAGAGACATACATCGCTTGGTTGCCTCTCACACAAACCCCAGCTGGGGCTGGGGATCGACCCTGCAACTGAGGTATGTGCCCCTGACCTGGGATCAAACCTGAAATCCTCAGGTCCACGGGCTGATGCTCTAACCACTGAGCTAAACTGGCCACGGTTAGGCAAAGGTCTTTTACATAGAATATAAAAATTGCTAACCACAAAAAAATGGATAACTTGACTTCATTAAAATTAAGAACTGCTGTTCATCAAAAAAAGCCATTCAGCAAGTGAAAAGGAAAGTCACAAACTAGGAAATCTTAGGAAAAATATATCTGACATAGAATATTATTCAGCCATAAAATGAAACAAAGTACTAAAACATGCTACAGCATGGATGAACCTTTGAAAAATGCAAAGTAAAATAAGCCACATAGAAAAGGCCACATATTATATGATCCCATTTATGTAAGATGTCCAGAAGAGGCAAATCGTAGGAACAGAAAGTAGATTAGTGGTGACGAGGGGGTGGGGAACAGACAGAATTGTGAGGTAAAGGGTTTCTTTTGGGGTGAAAGAAATTGGGTAGTGGTGATGGTTGCACAGCATTGTGAATATGCTGAAAACCACTGAATTGTACACTTTAAATCAGTAAATAAGAAATTTGTCAAAATTTTGGCAGAACATATAAAAAACTCCTACAAATGAGTAAGAAAATAACCAACCCAATAGAATAATAACCTTAAGACTCTACCAGGCACATCTCCAAGGAGGATATCCACTTGGCTAATACGCATATGGGAAGGTGCTCACACCATCAGTCATCAAGGAAATGAAAATCAAAACCCAGATGAGATACTACCACCTAGAAGAATGGTTAAAATTACAAAGACTGACAGAAAACACAAGTGTTGGTGAGGATACGAAGAAACTGAACCCTAACACAACTCTGGTAAGGGTATAAACCAGTATAACTACTTGGGGAAAACTAGCATGGGAAATTACTAAAGTTAAACACATGTATACCCTACAACCCAGCGACTCCACTCCTAGACATATATTCATCAGATGTGACATAAAGGACACATATGAGAATATACAGCAGCTTTATTCATAACGGCCCTAAATGGAAACAAACCCTAGTAGCTAACAACAGAAAGGATGAATTGTGAAATATGTGATGGAATATCACACAGCAATAAATGAGGAGTCTGACAGAGGAGTTATAAGAATACCCAATATGCAAAATGCCCAACGCCTAACACCATACCTGGCAACTATAGCAGGTGCTCAGTAATTATAGTCAAATGAAGAAAAAAAAAACTAAGAACCAATGACTGGGGAAACAGCAAAGAAGTCATCCAGATAAGACAAATGTGCTGAATGCTATTTTCAAAGAGAAAAATACTCCGGAATGGATAAAGCAATGTAAAATAATTACATAAGTCACATACTTGAGCAGCTTTGAGCAGAAAGAAATCATAGTCTTCTCCCAAGATTATGAAATACTAGCAGGCAATTAAATCATATGTAAGGAAGTAACTTTTGCCAATTTCCTTTTTAAAATTAAACTTTTTATTTTGAGATAATCATAGATTCCAAGTACAGTTTCCCCAATGGCAACATCGTAACAAATCATAGCACTAGGTCACAGCCAGGATACTGAGGTGTCACAATGAAGAGAGGAAGAACATTCTGCCCCCATGAGGATCCTTCCCACCCCCACCCCCTCCTTAATACCTGGCCAGCAATCTTCCCTCCATTCTGAAATTTTCTCTTCATAAATCTCACACAAATGGAATCATACAATATGCAACCCTTGGGGCTGGCTTTTCTCATTCAACACAATTCTCTGGTAAATCATGTACCAATAGTTTTAAAACCGGGTGGTCTTCCTTGGTGTGGGTGGACCATAGCGACCATAGCTGGTGGAAACATTCACCTGCTGAAGGACATCTGGGCAGCTGCTGTAAACATTAGTGTGTAAGTTTCCGTGTGAACCTAGTCTTCATTTCTCTGGGATACAGGCCAAGGAGAGCAAATGCTGGTAGTCTAGTGATGCCATTCGTACTTAAACCACTTAGGAGGGGTTCTCCCAGCATTGCCCCCATTCTCATGAGACGCCTGTCCTCTAAATAAGGAGAAGGCTGCCTCCAAAACACACTTTTTTTTTTTTTTTTTTTTTTAACATTGCACATTTATGGCAAAAGAAGTTCTGTTGACTACTTGTCATTATGGAACAGAACTAAAATTTGTTTTTAAATTGTTAATCTTTTGTCAGGTACAAAGCTGTTTAAAAGTTTAAGACAGAGTAAGATGGTTTGACACTAGTGGCTTTTCATTCTCACAGGTTTGCTTTTTGTTATTCCTCACCTGAAGATACTGTTTATATTGATTTTTCTGAGAGAGTAAAAGGGAGGGAGGAAGAGAGAGGAAGAGAGAGAGAGAGAGAGAGAGAGAGAGAGAGAGAGAGAGAGAGTGAGAGAGTTTGGTTGCTTCCTGCACATACCCCAACTGGGGCCGGGAATCAAACCCGAAACTCTATGGTTCATGGGCTGATGCTCTAACCACTGAGGACACCAACCAGGTCTAGATTTTGTGTGTGTTTTTTTTTGCATACAGGATGATGCTCCAACTAACTGAACCACCTGGCTAGGGTTAGATTTGTTTTTTAATGCAGCACTCCACAAATACGTTTTTAGCAAAATGCTTAAGAGTATGAGTTAAAACAGTTAAATAGGTTTAACTCATATTAATATTGATGGGTAACATAACTGTGTATAAAATAAAAAATACTAATAAGTGTTTAATATTTTAACTATTATTAAAATAAAAAGATAAGAAACTGATCACAAGCTTTCAGTGAACAGATTATATAAATCAAATTACATAAATAAAAAATATTATGAGAATTACCGTTAACATTAAAAAGATGAAAGCTGAGATTCCTAAGATAAGGATTTCTTTGTTCCCTTTACTTTCCATATGTAGCTTTCGATAATATGGTCCTATAAGGTAAGTCTTTATAACAAGACATAACAGAAAAACAGCAGCCAGCGAAAAAAGAATCTGACCAATCAAAACCAGTATTCGTAGTATTTCCATGACAATGCTAGGAAAGGAAAAAAAAAAAAGACATGTTATTTCACCTCTAAATATATTTCTCTAAAACCTAATAAAATGATCTTCCACTATTTTCTAACATGTTAAAATAAATGAACCAAATCACATACATTTTTATTTCCAAATATTAAAATAAAAACTATCAATCATATTACTCTCAGAAATTTTTATTTGAATCAATAAAGAAGCTGGATTACTTTGCAATCAATTCTTTGAAACAAATGCGATTTGTAGGATGTAACGATTCTTAACTGACAGCTTGTATATCTCAGTGATAATAAAATTCCTTCTCAGATAATAACCCCCATTTGAAATTCTTCATAAGGTGATAGTCACCCTGTAATATTACACTGCAGGCTCACATTAGAAGTATAACTAAAGAATTCCAGTGACTTTCGCAAAATATTCTCTTATCTCAATTTAGAAATCTGAATTTTATGTCTATTACTTAGTCATAAAGAAAAGGATTCTGTACTAAGCTCACAAAAAAGGCACTATTATATATAGGATGTCCCCAAAAATGTCTGCACACTTTGAATGATTATAAAATCAGTATTTATTAACAAACAGTTCATTTCCAAAATTTGATGTGATCTACAGAAATGAATAATTTTTTTGTCAACACCTGTTTTCAAACTGATGACTGTTTCTGTTTCAGGCACTGCTGATAATGTGAAGCAATGGAGTCACAAACATTAAGAATCATTGTGTTTGGTATTTGTGTGCCCTCAATTTATCAACTGTTGCCATTTTTTTAGCATAAAGTTTCTTTTATGTAAAAATGTCTAGTGGAAAAATTTTCTTTGTTCAAAGCTTAGTCTGGCTTTATCCATTATTTCAAATGAGTTAGATCTGAAAAGGAGTAAAAATTAAGTGAGTTATCAGCTGTTAAAGTGTGTATGTTTTTTTTGGGGGGGGACAGCCTATGTCCCCCCAAAAATGCACACACACTTTGAATAATTATAAAGGCAGTGTCTGTACTTCAACTGCATTTTCAAACTTCCAGTAGCATTTTAGGATGAATTTCCTTTGTTCATTTCCTCTGTTTTTCAGCTTAGTCTGGCTGAAAAGAAAGAAACATCCATTGAGTTATCAGCTGTCAAAGTGTGTATACATGTGTTGGGACACCTTGAATTTGTAGCATTTACAATAATATACATGTTTTGGTTTTTTAATATTTTATTTTTATTTATTGATTTCAGAGAGGAGGGGAAGAGAGATAGAGAGAAAAAGAGAGAAACATCAATTTGTTGTTCCAGTTATTTATGCATTCATTGGTTGATTCTTTTATGTGCCCTGACCAGGGATGGAACCCAACATCTTGGCATATCAGGATGATAGCTAACTGAGCTAGGGCTACGTATTTTCTTAAACTGAGCTCTCCACCATATTTAAGAAACATTCAGTCCAAAGTTCTGGTTTAGAAGGTCTCAATGGAAGAATACAAATCTTATGTTGGTAGTTCCCCCTTTTTGTGGTTTCATTTATTGGTTTCAGTTATCCACCGTCAACCCATGGCCTGAAAATATTACATGGAAAATTCCAAAATACACAACAACAACACAATTGATAAGTTTATGTGCACGGTTCTGAGTAGCATTATGAAATCTCCCACCGTCCTGCTCTGTCCCGCATGGTATGTGAATCATCTTTGTCCACTGTCTCCAGGCTGTATACGTTACTTGCCTGTTAGTCTCTTAGTAGCTGTCTTGGTGATCAGATCAGCTGTTGGGGTATTATAGTCCTTGTGTTCAAATAACCCTTATTTTACCTAATCATGACTCCAAAGTGCAAGAATAGTGATGCTGGCAATTCAGATATGCCAAACAGAAGTTGTAAAGTACTTCCTTTAAGTAAATAGATATGTATGCATAGGAAAAAATACAGCATACACAGGGTTCAGTACTACCTGTGTTTTTTGGTATCAACTGAGGGTCTTGAAACGTATCCCCACAGATAAGCAGGGACTACTGTACTAAGAGAATTCATTACAGCAGTCAGGCTTAAAATAGCAGCACGGGACACAAATCTCAAGTTGCACATGATTACTTAGGGGAATCGGGACAGAGCTGGGATTGCAGCAGAGAAGCAAAGTCACTGTGAATGACTCCACATCTTTAAAGTCGGGGAGCCAGTGTGAGAAATCAGGGTCTGCAGCCCAGGCAGGAATAGAAATGTGCTCACTGGGACAGAATAAAGTAGGTTGTCTACCTCAAATTCCTGACCAGTCTCCCACATTACATCAGTGATCATATCCCTGCAAAACTGTGATGATAACCTCCTAACTTATCTCGTTCATGCTCCACAGAGGCCTAAATAGCATGCTGGGAACATCAGTCAGATGTCCAAAGCTCCTGTGACATTGAGATGAGCCCAGACTCCTTCACCCAGCAGCACCTTCCACTGACCCTCACCTGCAGAGCAGCCTACACCGGCCTCTACTACTTCTTCTTCTTCTTTTTCAATGCCTGTAAAGCCGCAGTTATTGCACCAATTGTTACTTTATCAAGACGTCACATGTGGTACGACCTTCTTTTTTTGGGAAGTCATTATTATTATTATCTTATTGATTTCAGAGAGAAAGGGAGAGAGAAAGAGAGATAGAAACATCAATGATGAAAGAGAATCATTGCTTGGCTGCCTCCTGCACACCCCCCACTGGGGATCGAGCCTGCAACCTGGGCATGTGCCCTTGACCAGAATCGAACCTGGGACCCTTCAGTCTGCAGGCTGACACTCTATCCACTGAGCAAAACACCCAGGGCCAGCCTTTGCTTCTTGACAGGCCATACACTCCCCAGCTGTGGGGCCAGTGCACCCCACCCCATCCCAGGTTCTCCTCGCCGACTGGCTCAGCTGTGTCCTTCAGAGTTCAGCCTCAAAGTCAACTGCTCAGATGCCTTCCCAATCTGAAGTGGTCATCCGTTGTTTGCGGACTCATCACCCCATTATAATTCTTTGCATAGCACTAACCTACACTAGGCATTTTCTTGTTGACCATTCACTTATTTATCATTCATTCAATATCTTCCCCAGACATCACGGCAACTCCCTGAGAGCGGCCATCCTCCCCTGTGTATGGCATGTTTTAAGTGTTCTAGTCTCAGGCCAGTTTATTTAGCTGATAAAGAGATTGCAGCCACTTAAGAGATTGCAGCCACAACCAGACCAGCACTGTCACCATCCCCATCTAACTGACAAGAAAGTGGAGGCAAAGGGCAAGCCATCACTTCAGGTCACGTGCCAGGTGTCTGGCGCCAGGGCCTGTACTCCTAGTTGCTGCACAGGCTCTGCAATCACCATGTCCAGAGCCTGCATCCAGATCTACCTCCCAACTGTCTATTAAATGCATGATGGTGAGGATAAAATAGTCAAACAGCTCAGAAAGGTACTATTCTGCATCTCTATTTCTCTGTTAATCAGGTTTTGGCAAAGTTTCTATGCCAGCACAAGCATAAACTCATTTCAACAGCCGAGCCAGCATTCCATCATGTGTCTATGTCATCTTTTTCTCAGCCAGACACCTGGGCTGTTCTAGGTTCTTGATGTGCTGAATGATGAGCTTCTGGGAGCATATTACACTTGACAGACATTGCCAAATGAGCTGCCAGGAAGGCTGCTCCAATTCCCACCCCCAACCAAGACCCCAGAGTGCCGTTCTGCAACCCTGGACATCATCCCACTTCTAAAGGTTTGCAGTCTTGCCGAAACCCAGGTTCGATTCCGGTCAAGGGCATGTACCTTGGTTGCGGGCACATCCCCAGTAGGAGATGTGCAGGAGGCAGCTGATCGACGTTTCTCTCTCATCGATGTTGCTAACTCTCTATCTCTCTCCCCTCCTCTCTGTAAAAAATCAATAAAATATATTTTAAAAAAATAAAAATAAGAAAAATAAAGGTTTGCAGTCTTGCCCTAACTGGTTTGGCTCAGTGGATAGCGCATCGGCCTGCGGACTGAAGGGTCCCAGGTTCGATTCCAGTCAAGGGCATGTACCGTGGTTGCGGGCACATCGCCAGTGGGGGGTGTGCAAGAGGCAGCTGATCGATGTTTCTCTCTCATCAATGTTCCTAATTCTCTATCCCTCTCCCTTCCTCTCTGTAAAAAATCAATAAAATGTATTTAAAAAAAAATAATAAAGGCTTGCAGTCTGACAGGTAAAAGAGCCATTACTTTTCCCTTGTGCGAAGGGAGCATCTTCCATTAACTCATTTCTACATGAGCTGCTTATATTACTCAGCTATTTTTTAAGTTGGGATTCAAAAATTTATTAATTTATTAAATAATTAATTTATTAATTGTAGATTTTGATAAAATAAGAAACTTAACCCCTGTCTTTAATATGTGTACAAACATATTTTTCCCATTTGTCTTTGGCCTGCTTACCAAACGAGTACATGTACATGTACATGTACATATGTGTGTATACATATGTGTATGTGTGTGGGTGTTTACATGTATATTTGTGTATTTAAACAACTTTAATGCAGTAATACTTTTCACTTTTCTTGTCCTTTATGGCTTCTAGAATTTGTGTTCTGCTTGAAGCAGAAAGGCCCTCCCATCTTCAATATTACAAATTCATCCATACTTTCTTCTAGAACTTCCATGGTTTTGCAAGATTTTAATTCTAATAATTCAAATCACTTTATTTTTAAAAAGTATTCTTTATCATAGTCTCTGTGCTCTGCTCATTACCCGTGAAATATTTGGGGTCAAGAAGTTAATTCTTCCCTTTAGGAAAGCTCAAGATTAATTCTAGCTCTGGCTGGGTGGCTTGGAGTATTGTCTCATACACAAAAGGTAGCATGTTCAACTCCCAGACAGGGCACAGACCTAGGTTTTGGGTTCAATACTGATTGGTTGTATATTGGAGGCAATTGATCAATGTTCCTCTCTTACATTGATGTTTCTCTCTCTCTCCCTCTCTCTCTAAAAATCAATGAACATTTCCTTGGATAAGGATTAAAAAAAGGTTAATTCTGAATAAAGCCTCCTAAAGAGGCAAAGTTTATATTAACATTAAAACTTGTTTTATTTAATTTGTTTACTATAAATTTTCTCTGGTTATCAAAATTGGAAAAGAGGTTTTTCCCAAATTATATAAAAATGTATGTATAATAGACAATAAAAGTATCATAATCTATTACTCATTAATACCTTGTTATATACTTGTTATTCATATATACATATATTTATGGTCTCTCCATGCATTTTTCTTTATGTAGTTCAGAAAATATTGCATATAATTTCAATAGTTTTGAGATATTATTCTCATCCCATACAATTTACCCATTTAAAGTGTACAATTCAATGGTTTTCTAGTATATTCATAAAGTGAATTGCAACCACCACCACAATGAATTTTAGAATATATTTCCACCTCAAAAAGAAACCCTGTATCCACTCCCACTCACTCTCCATTCCTTCTTCCTCTGTGCTTGGCAACACCTGATCTCCTTTCTGTCCCTGTGGATTTACCTATTCTGGATGTTTCATAACAATGGAATCATACAATATATGGCCTTTTGTGACTGGCTTCTTTCCCTTAGCATAATGTCTTCAAGGGAAAATGACCTCAATAACCGACCTTAATAGTTACATATACCAGCGACTAGTCTAACTGCTTTATGGGATCCTCTCCTGCAGCTCTTACACCAGGGGTCCTCAAACTTTTTAAACAGGGGGCCAGTTCACTGTCCCTCAGACTGTAGGAGGGCCGGACTATAGTTTTTAAAAAAAAACTATGAACAAATTCCTATGCACACTGCACATATCTTATTTTGAAGTAAAAAAACAAAACGGGAACAAATACAGTATTTGTATTTGCATGTGGCCCGTGGGCCGTAGTTTGAGGACCCCTGCCTTACAGTGCATGGGATAAGTCCTATTTCCATACTGTCCCCATTTTATAGGTGAGAAAAGCTGAAGCCCAGAGAGGTTTGGTAAGTTGCCAAAGCTAGCAAATGGCTGAGCTAGAACTCTAGGGAGGCTTTGCTCCAGGACATGAGCCTTGATCTCTGGAAATCTCAGTTAAAAAGGCATTCATTTTTAACATAGCTGAGTTATCTGAGAGCAGAGAAGAGATCTTAATCATTCTGGGATTGCTGAAACTTAATATAATATCTGGCAAAGGTAAATACTAAAAAATACAAAATACTTCTACCCGACCCACTTGCAATGAGGTAGGTTTGTCAGCCAGGGCTTCACTTGGGTGGAACCTAGCAGGGCGATGAACACACACATACACAATGTCACACACACCTCACTGGGGGACTGCTTATTTTAAAAAATATGATGAATAGGATCTAGATACTCATACTAAATGTCCAGGATACAACTGAAAATCACTTATCTCCACAACAATCAAGGAAAAACCACAACTTGAATGTGAAAAGACAATAAAAGGATTCCAACATAGAGATGAATCATTGTTAGAAATATCTGACAGAGTTTAAAGCAGCTTAAAATTAACTCAACAGCACTCAAAAATTCTCTTGAAATAAATGAAAAAAAGAAAAGAAAAATCTCAGAAAAGAAATAGAAGTTATAAAAAGAAGAGCCAAATGTTAGATAAGCTAAATAGTAGAGTGGAGATGACAGAGGACAGAATCAGTGAACTTGAGGACAGATCAAAAGCATTTACTCAGCCCTAGCTGGTTTGGCTCGGTGGATGGAGTGTCAGCCTGCGGACTGAAAGGTCCCAGGTTTGATTCCGGTCAAGGGCACAGGCTTGGGTTGCAGGCTCGATCCCCAGTAGGGGATGTGCAGGAGGCAGCCAATCAATGATTCTCTCTCATCATTGATGTTTCTATCTCTCTCTCCCTCTCCCTTATTCTCTAAAACCAATAACATATATATATATATATATATAAGCATTTACTCAGTTGGAACAGAAAGAAAATAAACTGGAGAAAAAAAGGAAAAGTCTCAGAGGACTGTGGGACAAAAACAAACAAACAAATCACTGGGGTCCCAGAAGGAGAAAGCAAATGGAACTAAAAAATTACATGAGGAAATAATGGCTGAAATTCCTAAATTAGGCAAGAGACATACATCTACAGATTCAAGCAGCTTAGCGAACACCAAATATGATAAACCCAAAAAGTGTATGGATTGCATATTTGTGTCCCTCCAAATTCATATGTTGAACCCCAATGTGACAGTACTTGGAGGTGGGCCTTTGGGAAGTGATTAGGTTTAGATGAAGTCATACAGAAGAAATAAAGTAAATGAGAAAGATTTTAGCATTTCAAAGTGGTTCCAAAAGGAATTTCAAAGTCTACTAATTTTTGACCAATAGTATTATTACTGTAAGAGGTAAAAAAAAAAAAAAAGTATTCTCTGGAAATATTTAAAGCACAATATTTATATGCATATAGTATATTTGCTTAAACAAATTCAAGTTTATAATCCTAACCTACATGCGATGTACCTTTAAATTGTACAGGGCACCCTATATTTTGTAAGTGTATTTATTTTCTGGCGGGTATTCTTGTAATATATTATATATGCAACCCAACCTAGAGCTTTTTGAGTGAATTTATTTTTCTCAGCAATATGAACCTAAGCAAGTACAGTTTGAGTTCTGGTATTATTTTATTAGAAGACTAGGGAAAAGGATCAGGGAAAATGGTAATGAAGATGACAATGACAGTCACTAATGATAGTGTGGGCACGCGCGCATGTGGGCACACACACACACAAACCCCACTATGTTCCAGGCATTTTATATCTTAACTCTTTCAATCCTAACTATTCCATAAAGTAAGTATTGACATTATCCCCACTTTACAGATGAGAAACCTGAGGAAGAGTGAGGTTAAATAACTTGCCCAATCAATGTCCACAGAGCTAGAGTGTGAGTCTAGGCAGTGTTACTCCTGAGCCTGTGCTATACAATGCTATACAAGCTCTGAACATATCTTTGGAAAAAGGTATCAAATAGCATTTTTATAAACAAATGATCTGAAACCAGAAAAACAAACCATGAAATAAAATAATATAGAAATGTACCTAGAGTATGTACTGGCTCCTGCTTGGATAAGAGTTGGCATGACAGCTATGAATAACCCCAGCTGTACATCCTGCATCACCAGCATGCCAAGCAACACAGCACTATAGTCAAGGTCACCTGCTTAAGAAAACAAAATATTAAAAGCAAATATTTTCAGTATTTTAAATTGTCCCAAGTCAAAATAAAGTCATCATGCATAGTCCCAAAATAATTAAAATGATTTTGATCCTTTAAATGAGAATACAAACTTTAAAATTTCTTTGAGAGCAAACACTGTAACATTTTAAAGATTTAAAAATTTTTGTAAAGAAAATCTCCCAAATATTTCCACTAGTTACTGGTTAATTATAAAATTACAGAAAAATGACATTTTGACAAGATGGCATGGCAAACAATATGATAGGCCTGGATAATCATACCAACTTCACTGTGTCCCAGAAACACACGCAGTCGCAGTCTCCATCATCAAGCTTTATTTCTTCCCTAAGCTATTCAAGAGAGACCTGGCCCCATCCCTTTCTGGTCACATCTGCTGAGCAGAGCCTAGCGGCATGGGTCACTTTCCTTCAAACTCACCATCACCACCACACTGAAGATCCCTTCCCTTTGAGACTAATGCAGATTTGGTATAGAAATACTGACTCATATGGACAGAACAGGAAAGTAGTAACCAGCACTGGCTGAAGGGACTATACAACTTCTCTGGAAAGAAAATGATGCAGCTTTGGGGAGCTCAATACTTCACATAGGCCTCAAATGTCTCCATTTTCAATCAACAGTTCTTGGCTTTGGAACTTTTTATGTTTTCTTTAAAAAAAAAGATTTTTAAAAAATCGTGTTTTTTTAAATTTATGTTTGAGTGTTTCAAACATGATTATTTTAAAGACTTTATTAGATTTTCCCACAAATAGGTACTGGTATTATAGTGCACTAGAGGCCCAGTGCGCAAAATTTGTGCACTCGGTGTGTGTGTGGGGGGGTGTTCCCTCAGCCCAGCCTGCACCCTCTCATAGTCTGGGAGCCCTTGGGGGATGTCCAACTGATGGGGGGAGCGGGACTAAGCCATCAGTCGGACACCCTAGTGCTGCCGCAGAGGCGGGAGAGGTTCCTGCCACCACTACTGCGCTCGCCAGCTGTGAGCCCAGCTTCTGGCTGAGCGACGCTCCCCCTGTGGGAGCGCACTGACCACCAGGGGGAAGCTCTGGCGTTGAGCATCTGCCCCCTGGTGGTCAGTGCACGTCATAGCAACCGATCATTCTGCCGTTTGGTTGATTTGCATATTAGCCTTTTATTACATAGAATAGGTTATAATAGGAGTTCCTCTTATTTTCCTACTTCATTACTGGTGTCCCCTTCACCTCCTTTTGTCACTTGGTCTTGTGAGGGAAGGTTCTAAACACCAGGCCACAGGGGCACTGGGAATAAATGAGACCACCAAGGTGGTGACAGCTAGTCTAGTTGCTAGCAGGAAGGCTGCACCCATGGCCCACAAATCGGCAGAAGGGACCAGATAGTTTTTTCCAGCCTCCTCTCACCAGTGGGAAGCCCCTGATGTCACGAGTGAGTGTGGCCTGGCCAGTGTGGCTCAGTTGGATGAGCGTTATCCCATGTAACAGGAGGTCACCGGTTTGATTCCCGGTCAGGGCACATGCCCCGGTTGCTGCGGGCTTGATTCCCAGTAGGGGGCATGCATGAGGTAGCCTATCACTGTTTCTCTCTCATCAATGTTTCTATCTCTCTCTCCCTCTCCCTTCCTCTCTCTGAAATCAATACAAACATATTAAAAAGGAAAAAAGAGTGAGTGTGGTCCTTGTGGCCCCTGTGACGCAGAGCCCCGGGCCCTTGGCCAGCTCTGCTTACTGCAGAGGCCAGGCACACCGCTCTGGTGCCCTCTCTCCATGTTTTCCCTTTCATCTGTGTTGCTGCAGGGCGAGTATCAGTGTGAAGCTACTATGACATCTGAACCCTATTTTTTACTGACTTTTACAAAATAAGAGCAAAACAGTGAAAATTACCATAATGAATAAACATGATGTACAAAGTGTCAATGCTGCCAAAGTTTAACTGCACCAAAGACAGTGCCACCGAGCAACACCTCAGAACAGTCCTCCTAACGTCCAATCAAGTCCGACTTCACTACACACAGCGATGACAGAGATGCGAGCGTTTCGTACACATAGATGGCACTAACTCCAAAGTATAAGAGGTGAAAGTACCTTCAGTTACCAAAGTACCTCATATATTTTATAGAAGGAGGTGTCAGGCCTCCTTTATACATCAATTCCCAACCTTGCCAGAATCAAAGCAATGTACGTCAATCACACTGTTTTTAGGCTGCATGTAACGCCACCAGTCGGCAGTAGTGTAGGCAATAAGCACAGCTAATTAGAATTTTGGAGCCGGGCAGTTTCAGGTTTGGCGCAGCTCACTCATCTCTTTAACCCACCAATCCCACAGCACATTTCTCAATGTAGATTCCTTTCTCTAAAATGCTCCTCAAACTACTCTAAATTTGTGAGCATATACAAAGACATTTTTTCTTAATCAAATGGAGGTTTGGAGAAGCTGAGATTACAGGGACAACAATTCACAAGGGAATGTCCATAACTATTAGGAAAGCCCCAAGGAGGGAGTAAGAGTTGCAAGTTTTTCTCACAGGCCTTAGGAGTGGATTTAAGTCAATTAAATATGTACTGCTTCAACACATATTTAGAAGAGGTCATCACCTACCTTCTTTTTCACCCCGGGCACTGCCCACGAGGAATCTGGACACTAAGGGTGTGCTTGATAAGGACAAACAAGTAGAAATGAAAACGCTCTGAGTGGGTCTGATCTGTAAAAGGTGTCCCCATAATAAGCCAAATGCAATCATCAATAGTGTCATATAACATGGTCCTTGTAAGGATATCTTCCACACCTTAAAGAGAACACATTTATTTATACATTTTAGTGACTAGCATTATGCGGAGCACATACATACATACTGCCCAGTAATGGGGCAGGCCTGAAATTTTGCAGTAGATACATCAGCACCAATCCAACATCATAATGTTAACACAATAGAGACAGTAAAAACTAACATAAGACCTCCCCAGGTCTCGGTATTGTTACAGGAACTAAACAAACATGTCTCTGCGTATATATATGTGTGTGTGCACATAACTTAATCCTCAGAACACATCTCAGAGGTAGATATCATTGTCTCCCCCATTTCTAGATGAAAACACCAGACCACAGAGGTTAGGTGATTTAACCAGGTACCATGGAAGACAATGTGAGGACATAAACCCAGGCAGCATGGCCTGATAATCAATCACAAATTGAATAGACACCTTGGTATGCACTTAACACTGCACTAAACATGATAGATAATGTGAAGAAATCAGATTTGATTCTAACCCTGTGGGGTTTTCAATCTGGTTGAAGAGACAACATAATAAAAGCTGTCTGATATTTATACAGATGTGAATATTACATATTAACAAAAGAAATTAACCTGAAACTCATCCTATTCTACGTTAAAGGACTTTTGTTCTCCTCAGTGCACCCCCCCCACCCCCCAATTAAAACTGATTCCCTCATCCAGGCCCTCTACTCAAAGAGCTCGTGGAGGCCCAGAGGAACGGGGCAGGAGAGGCATGGCTCAGCGCAGCTCTAGAATAGTGAAGTCAAAGGCAAACGCTGAGGCCCCACCAGCTGGCCAACCTCGGCTGTGTCTCCACACATCTCCTCACCTTTGGGTGCCCTAGACAGTGTTAGCTTTTTCTGGTTCTTAGTTAAAGCAATACTTGCAAAACCAACGACATTTTCTTTGGGAATCAGGGCAACTGGGAAGCTCTTCCTAGGCTGGTATTGATTTCCTGCTGCGGCCAAACAAGCAGAAGCCAACCCTGGGCTCACCACAGCCATGATCGCTGCCAGCCTGCTGGCCCACCTGTTCAGGAAATCAATTACAGGAGCCTCCCAACTCCATAAGGTCCCAATGAAGGGAGACCAAAAGAGGTGACTGAACTGAGTGCGCACTCAACGGAGTGCTCGGCCCTCCATGCAGAGCCAAATCCATCTTCTGCCATGTGACTCTGGTCCCCCAGGCCCCACTCTCTCCTTCCAGAAAGACACAAGTTACCCCACAATGGCTGTTCCTCAATCGTTCAAATTTCATGTTCTTGACTTCTTATATTTGGCAGTGATGTTATCATAAAGCGAATCTCTTTCGAATCATTCTTCCTCTTCCTGTATATTACAGCTAAGGAGCAGTGAAGGACCAGAGCAGACCCACACAGCCAGCTGCAGCAGCTAAGGAGGCCAAGCATGTTGGACTTTGGGGTTCACAGGAATTAGCAGCCCCTTCTGTAAGTAGTGTTAGCCCTCAGTTAGAGTATTCCTGCCCACACGGGACACCTGGAGTTCAGGCTTGAACCTGTCACTAACTGGCTGTGCACCTTGAATAGGTAACAATCTCTCTTCTTTAGTTTCCACATCTGTAGAGAAGAAAAGTGAGACTAAATAATTTCTGAGGTCCAGAGCGAACCTTAGACTTTATTGTCAGGAGTCTTGCTATACCTTGATCTAGAGCAGTGGTTCTCAACCTTCCTAATGCCACGACCCTTTAATACAGTTCCTCATGTTGTGGTGACCCCCAATTTCATTGTTACAAATTGAACATAATTAAAGCATAGTGATTAATCACAAAAACAATAGGTAATTATATATGTGTTTTCCGATGGTCTTAGGCGACCCCTGTGAATGGGTCGTTCAACCCCCAAAAGGGTCGCGACCCACAGGTTGAGAACCGCTGGTCTAGAGGATTTGAATCTATTTAGCCTGAGAAGCAAGGTATGGAGGGAACGACAGAAAAGACCCAAGGGAGCATCCTTCAGAAACTTCCTGTCCAATGTGGGACCCTGCCCTTACAGAAATGCAGGTCCTCAGGCTGCCCACATCTGTAGCTCTAGGTCAGCAGGAGCCCCAGGCCACTCCTCGGACATCAGAATCTAAGAAGCACTGACAAGAAACCTCTCAGCCAAGACCCTGCTCCCTGTGTACCCAGATGCACACATCAGCCTAAACTGCCCTCTCCAGTTCTTCTTCCTCTTTCTTTTCCTAGGACTTCCGTTCACAACTCCCCAAAGGGCAGGGACCATGCTGACTGTATACATTGCGTTATACATAGAAGCTACCAAAGGTCTGGAACATCACACCCAACAAGTGTTTGTTGAGACAACAAATAAGGAATAAAAGAGAACAAAATACAACTCTTGACTCCATTATTTTACAACTTATTTAGAGAGATGAAAGCTGGTGAACTATTATGATATAAAGCTAAGAGAACAGTTTAAGTGAAGCTAAAAGAATGAAGTAAGGCAATGGATGATGACTTACAAATAAATGACTCAACCAATGGTACCAGTGGACAGAACAGAAAGACCACAGCTTTCCTCAGCGACAAGAAATAAGTCGTTTTCAGACTTCCATGTTTTTGAATAGTTTCTAGTCAGACCTTTAGGAGATTTCACCGAAGACCTCGGAGGGCCCTTCCAGCAATTATTATTTCGAAAACCCTATTCAATAATTTTCTACCTTGACAGGAACACCTGGGTAATCAACCCACACAGCAGAAGCGCTGTCAAGTGAGAACGACTACACTAGTCACTTCAGGTGCTCTAGCATTTTGCCAGTTACTTATATCTGAGAAATAAAAAGAAATGTGTCAATTAATAATGTAGTTGATTAAGAAGATATAAGTCTTCTGCAATCCGAGCCCATGGGCCTAGAAAGGGATAGGATGCATTCCTGGTGCATGTCAAGTTTCAGGGCTGCCACACGGGGGACTTGGGGACTGGTAAGTGAGGATCCACGTCAGAGTTGAAGGGACATTACAGACCCCAGCTTGCAAGGAACAAAGAACACTGCCCAACATCACATATTCAGTTGCTAGATATTAGTGGGGAGGACAGATGAAGAGGTGGAGTACAGGGGATTTTTAAGGCAGTCAGTGCAACTGTTCTGTGTGAGACCATAATCTGTAGATGGACAAATGGAGCTTTCAATAGAAAAAAATGAGGCCAAAGAAACCAAGGTGAAAGAAAAATAGGATGAACTAAGGAGACAAATGGGAAGAGAGGTCAGCAAAATGACAGCCAAGTCATGAACAAATGTGAACAGTAAATAAACCAAAACCATATTATGTTAAATTGGGGGCAATAACACAGATTGATAAATCCTTACCTTTCTCAGCTTTTCTGGGGAAAATTCTAAGCCAACAAGGAAAAGAGTGAAAAACACACCAAATTCTCCTAATGTCTCCACTTGCACAATAGACTGAAAAATAAGAAAATTTTCAAAACATATGATTTAACATATTTAACACATTTAGTATATTTACCAGAACATCTTGTACTAACATAGGGACTATCCCCAAATAAGTATATTTTTAAAACAAGTAAGTCTTTGAATTTCCTCTATCTGAGATAACCTGGACTTCCAGATTATAGTGGGGGGTTTTCCTTTTTTTTTTTCTTGATTAGCTGGAGTTTTCTAAGAACTAGCTCATGAATTCACCTGTTTTAAAGTTCATTAACTGCTGATCTGTTATCTTCATTAGTTCCTTTCTTTAGCTTTCTTTGGGGAATGGGGAGGCATTAAACCTGAGTTTAAGGATGAAGTAATTCAGTGGTTCACTCTCATTGGGTTTCAGCGTGACTAAGCGTGTGAATTTTTTCCTGAGTGCCACATTTGGTCATATCCCACAGGTTTTGATATACGGTGTTCTTAGGTTCTATATTTGTTTTGGTCCTTCATTTGCTACTTATTTTTAATGTTATTCCACTACTATAGTAGATAATTTTGTTTATACTACTATATTTGGTACTATTTGTATTATGTATTTACATTTGAGATTTTCATTGCTCGTTTTTTTTTAAATGTTCCCTGAACATCTGAAAATAAAGTGCAGGCTCTCATGCATCTGTATGCTGTCCTGACCCCAGCACACTTACTCAGTTTGTCAGCTATTAACATTATGAATCCTGCCCTCTTTATTGGCATCTCTCCTCCTTTCAATTTTAATTCTTAGTTGCTTTTTTTTTCTTTATTAAGGTATTACATATGTGTTCTTATCCCCCCATTGGCCCCCCCCCCCCACTCATGCCCTCATCCCCCTGGTGTCTGTGACCATTGGTTAGGCTTATATGCATGCATACAAGTCCTTTGGTTGATCTCTTCCCCTTACCCCCACCCTCCCCTACCTTCCCTCTGAGGTTTGACTGTCTGATCAATGTTTCTCTGTCTCTGGATCTGTTTTTTTCATCAGTTTATGTTGTTCATTATAATCCACAAATGAGTGAGATCATATGATATTTATCTTTCTCTGACTGGCTTATTTCACTTAGCATAATGCTCTCCAGGTCCATCCAAGCTGTTGCAAAGGGTAAGACTTCCTTCTTTTTTTAGAGCAGTGTAGTATTCCATTGTGTAGATGTACCACAGTTTTCTAATCCACTCATCTGCTGATGGGCTATTTCCAAATCTTAGCTATGGTGAATTGTGCTGCTGTGAACATAGGGGTGCATAGATCCTTTCTGATTGGTGTTTCTAGTTTTTTGGGATATATTCCTAGAAGTGGGATCACTGGGTCAAATGGGAGTTCCATTTTTAGATTTTTGAGGAAACTTCATACTGTTCTCCACAGTGGCTGCACCAGTCTGCATTCCCACCAGCAGTGCATGAGGGTTTCTTTTTCTCCACATCCTCTCTAGCACTTTGTTTTGACTTAATCTTTATTATACTCTCCTCCATATTATCTGCAAACTTTTTAATAGGTATCTTTTAATAGGGTAGTTTTTTCTATTTAAATTTATTGTTATAACATCCTTTTCTAACATCTTTAATGTCTTCTGATTTTTATGCTTCCTGACTGATATTTTTAATTTTATTTTTCATCCCTTTTAAAAATCAGGCTGTAACCTATGACTTCAAAGTAACATACTTAAACCTACACTTCTCAACTTAATAAATGAAAGCATATCAACTTCCTCCTAGGAAAAGATACATATTTTAGTACAACTATACTTCCTCTTACCCACCTCCCATTTTTGACTAGTGTGTTCTTGCATTTTTATCTTGGACTACTGTAATTACATTATTTTTCCATGGTATAGCTGATTTATTAAGAATTATAATATCCAGTTGTATCTATTTAGCTATTTAGCCTTAATTCTTTGCTTATGAGCTATCTTTGCTGTTAAGGGGGGGGGGGGGGGAGAAAACAGCTGTGTTTGTGATTGCTTGCAAATCCTCTGGAAAGGGAGGGATGTGACATGAACAGGAAGAGTTTTTTCACTTACAGCTTTTTATTGTTTTCAATCATGTGAACATTACCTATTCAAAATGTTAAATTAAAACCATTCTTCCCAGAGACCACCCTGCCAAGCTGAGCCCAGTCCATGAGGGCACTCCCACATTGGTTAGCTATTCCACCACTCACTAAGGTTCCAGGCTTTTAGCTTGGAGCAGTTGAGCACAACTTCTCCTCACCGGGCTAATCTGACCCACTGTTAAGATTAGTTTGATGTGCTCTAGCTCAGCGGTTGCCAATCAGTGTTCCATGGACCACTGGTGGTCTGTGAGGTCTGAAAGGTTGACAATCGCTGCTTTAACTGGTTTGGCTTAGTGGATAGAGCAGTGATGGCGAACTTATGAGGTGATGCGCGAACTCATGTTTTTTGGTTGATTTTTCTTTGTTAAATGGCATTTAAATATATAAAATAAATATCAAAAATATAAGTCTTTGTTTTACTATGGTTGCAAATATCAAAAAATTTCTATATGTGACATGGCACCAGAGTTAAGTTAGGGTTTTTCAAAATGCTGGCCTGCCGAGCTCAAAAGGTTCGCCATCACTGGGATAGAGTGTCGGCCTACAGGGTCCTGGGTTCAATTCCGGTCAAGGACACATGCACGGGTTGCGGGCTCAATCCCAGGAGGGAGTGTGCAGAAGGCAGCCGATCAGTGATTCTCTCTCATTGATGTTTCTATCTCTCTCTCCCTCTCCATTCCTCTCTGAAATCAATAAAAACATATTAAAATAAGTAAATAAATAAAAATAATTAGTGTGGTGTGATGATTTCTTTGCACCCTCTTCTGCTGTTTTCTGGTCGGAGTAAATCGCAGAGGTCCTTTTGACCTGATGCAGATGTCTGAATCAGCAGAAGGAAATGAGGCTGCAAGTGGAGCATTCCACAACGCTCCCCCATTTGCCTACTCCTATTCTGTCCAACTGGGAAGCGTCAGTGAGGCCTGCAAATTCTGTTGCCTATTTTCCACCGTCCTATGTTGTTCCTTCTGTGTGGGCTCACGGCACCTATTCTTGGCGCACTCTTTCCATTTTGTCCAAATTGTGAGTATTTAAGTGAGAAATTTTGAAACCCCCAAAATGCTGGGAACCTCCTTTCTGTAAAAAAATGCTGTCAATGTAAGATGATGCTCACTTCAATTTGTTCAGCAAACAGCCTCTAGCAAAAGCAGCCTCAGTGCCTCATTGTCTCTCGGGGTTCTTACAATACCCTACATTTATGGTTAATAATTCCTCACTACTTTATCAGTTTTCAATGTACTAAGAATTTTAAAAAATGCATTTACTCTAGCATTTTTAGTTGCTTTCAGTCTCTGAATAATCTAGTCCATCAACTACTGGAAATAGAATCTTTAAGACTAATATAATTTAAAGACATGATCAGGGTTATTTTCTCTAGTCAAGTTACGCTATTCATTAACAAACAAAATTACTTTCTTATGGTTTAGAGCAGCCGTGGGCAAACTACGGCCCGTCCGGCTGTTCTTCCCGGCCTGCGGAGCCGAAAGAGCGGAGGGTTCTCTTGCTCTCCCCTCTGCTCCTTCACCAGCAGCAGTGTTAACATGGCAACATCGGGAAACACGGCCGAAGCTCCTTCTGGGTGGGCGGATTTATATCCGCCCATTCAGTAGAAGGAACAACCTCTCAATCTTCCAGAGGCTCCTTGTAATGCCCAAGGACGCGTCTTCCGACATCACCCTGGGAATGCGTAGACACATGATGGTGGTGATGTAGGGAGACACGCCCCTGGAGAGCACAGCATCACAGCCTTTCTGAGGTAAGATTAAGAGCTCTAGTCAAACACAATTTTTTCCTGTTCCCACATTCTGTACATCACAATGACTTGTTAATAAAACAACAAAGACTTTCAGCTGTAAAAATGCATGCTACAGGGCATTTGTGTTAACACGCACCACTGCACATTAGCATCAACGCAAACATGATGGAAACCTGTGTACCCTGCATTAACCCTAGCTGCGCTGCATTGCAGTACTGCACTACACTGCAATGGCAGCACGGCTAGTGGGAACGAACCCTAATTCAGTGGGTTGAACAAAAAGATTGTATAGAAATGTGATGAACTAAAGATTTTATTACAAAATCGCTTAATTTCAGGGTTTCAGAAGTAATTGGACAAATGAAAAACTGAAAATCAAATGTTCGTATCTAATACTTGGATGAAACCCTTTCCTGGTAATGACAGCTCAGTCTTGTACTTATGGACATCACCAGATGCTGGGTTTTCTCCTTTGTAATGCTCTGCCAGGTTGTCACAGTAGGGGTATATATATATAAATATCCTGCCATTTCCAGTTTTTAATAAGAAAAACTGTTGCAATGGGCATTTAAAAGTGGCACTTGGTTGTTTTTATAGAGTCCAGTGGATGCAATCTGACATTGATAATGGGCTCTTTCACACTATGTGCACTGCGGCTGTTTTTTGCCAGTAACGGAAGTGCTAGTGGTAACTACTGGTTACCCATGTTTTGCACTGCCCTAGCACCTCCCATACAAGTGTGTCTGGAAGACACAGCAATGTGCAGCTATGTGTGTTTCCATAAACAAAGGGCCTGTGTGAAAGATACACAGGTTTCCTATGGAAGAAAGGGCTTGTTCTCTATGGTTAGGGTGTGCCTCTGTCCCATGTCTGAACTTTTTCAGATGATTTTGTTATATATATATTTTTTAGAAGACCAAAAATGTTATAGTAGAGCAAATTTAATCACTTGTTTTTATACTTTACTGTCTTATTTTAGTAAAGAATTTAATAAGAGAACAGTACTGTTGGTTTTAGCCCAATATTAAACATGAGTGGACCAAAGAAAAGGAAAGTGGACAGTGAATGCCGAGTGTTTAAGAGGGAGTGGACAACAAAATATTTTCTCACCGAAGTCCGATCAATGCCGGTATGTCTGATATGCCAGGAAACACTTGCAGTCTTCAAAGAGTACAATCTCAGCAGTCACTTTGCAACAAAGCATGGCAACTATGCTAGCAAGCAGTCACCTCAAGAACAGGAGGCTACTGCACAGAGGTTGATGGCTAAATTACAGGCTCAGCAAAATGTCTTTCACAGACAAACTGCAATTCAAGAGACAACTACCAAAGCAAGTTTTATGCTATCATTCAAATTAGCAAAAGCTAGCAAACCTCTCTCTGAAGGCGAGTTTTTGAAAGAATGTATGATAGAGACAGCAGGTCTCTTGTGTCCAGAGAGCAAAGGAAAGTTTGAAAAACTCAGCTTATCGCGCAGGACAGTGACTCCTCCAGTGGAACTGATTGATGAAGACTTGGCCAGTAAGTTAAATAGTAAGGCAGAGTTCTTGGATGAAAGTAATGACGTAAAGGACACTGCTCAGCTCTTAATTTTTATACGAGGGATTAGTGACAATTTTGAAATTACGGAAGAGTTTTTAGCCATGGAGCCACTGAAAGGAAAAACACGGGGAGAGGACTTGTATGACCGGGTGTCTACTGTCATCGAGAAAATGAAGCTACCATGGAGTAAACTTGCTAATGTCACGACAGATGGATCTCCACATTTAACTGGAAAAAATGTTGGACTGCTAAAAAGAATTCAGGATAAAGTGAAAGAGGAGAACCCTAACCAAGATGTTATTTTTCTTCACTATATTATTCACCAGGAATCATTGTGCAAGTCTATATTACAACTTAATCATGTTGTTAATCCAGTCGTAAAGCTTGTTAATTTCATTCGAGCAAAGGGACTTCAGCACCGTCAGTTTATTAAGTTTCTGGAGGAAACTGATGGGGATCACCACGACTTACTTTACCACTCTCGTGTCCGCTGGTTGAGTTTGGGCAAAGTTTTCCAACGAGTGTGGGAGCTCAAAGAAGAGATTGGTGCATTTTTGAAATTAAAGGGGAAGTCTGACGAATTTACTGAGCTGAGTGACAAGAATTGGCTGTGTGACTTTGCATCTGCTGTAGATATATTTTCACATTTGAATGAGCTAAATGTGAAGCTACAGGGAAAAGATCAGTATGTACATGACATGTACACTAATGTGAAAGCCTTTAAATCGAAGCTGATGTTCTTTTCCAGACAAATTTTAGACAAAGTCTTCACTCATTTTGCCACACTAGCCACACAGAAGGAGACCATCCAAAACGTGAAGAAATACAGCAAATCACTGGATGACCTGCATGCAGAATTCTGTCGTCGGTTTTCTGATGTTGACAAAATTGACCAGTCACTTCAACTGGTGGCCTGTCCTTTGTCACAAAACCCTGAAACAACACCAGAAGAGGTGCAACTGGAACTCATCGATCTTCAGTCTGACTTTGTCCTAAAGGAGAAATTCAGCTCTCTTGAACTAAGAGACTTTTATGCTTCACTTAATGAAGCCACTTTTCCAAACATCCGGAGGATGGCACAGAAGATACTGGTGCTGTTTGGGTCAACCTATGTTTGTGAGCAGACATTTAGCGTCATGAACATCAACAAAGCCCCTCACAGATCCAGCTTAACTGACGAACACCTCAGATCTATCCTGAGAATAGCCACAACAAAACTAACTCCAGACTTTGATGCATTAGCTAAAGAAGGAGACCAACAACACTGTTCCCACTGAAGTTGATGTTTTAAAGACCAAAAACCTTTCAACCCAGTCTACATTGCCATCTACATCTACGTCCCGGGCATAATTTGGAAGTTGCACTAAAGAAAATGTTTAATTTACTGTTTACACATTTTGTTCTTTTCTATTTTAGTTTTAAATTATTTTATTATATTTAAGTTTAATTTGAAAGGCTTTTGTACCTTTCCTTTGTTAGGCAATTTTATTTTGCCTTTGCCATCTTCAATATAAGGTATGTTATTGTGCTATGATTCCTCCATTTTTTGAAGTTTCAAATTATAATAGTGTTTACATTCTTCTTGTTAAAATGTTTGAAATGAATAAAACTATTGAAATAAAAAAAAAAAGACCGTACCCTTTTATGTAATGATGTTTGCTTTGAATTTATATTAGTTCACACAAACACTCCATCCATGCTTTTGTTCCGGCCCTCCGGTCCAGTTTAAGAACCCATTGTGGCCCTCGAGGCAAAAAGTTTGCCCACCCCTGGTTTAGAGCTTTCTTATGAAACTTTAAAGGGCATCTTCTTGAATATGATTTATAAGAAATTGTTATCTTCATTAATTCAAGTTCAAAACTTTTTATGAATGTTTTCATGGATGTTTCTTATGTACTGTTAAACAGATACTGCAATGGTTAAATTGTGTTCTTACCTTAATACTATTTAGTCCTGAAGGTCCCAGAAGTACACCACAAATAATATAACCAAACATTGTAGGCAATCCTATTGTTGTGCATAGCCAGCCACAGGGTAAAGATAACATTCCTATGGTAACAATGTCCTAATGCAAGAATAAACAAGAAATACAAAAACTTAAGATAATAGTTGTCAAGAAAGGCTGGTTAATGGAGAAAGCAGGCTGGGATAGTATCATGATTTCACTGAATGAGAATAAAGGACAGATTATGAAACTAAGGGAGGGAATTTTTACTACTACAGTGTACTATAGAGAAGTTGAAAACATGCAGAATGTATTCTAGGAGTAGATGAGGTTAGCTCCTAATGGTCTAGCAATTACAGCAAAATTTGTCTGTTTTGCTTAAATCCTGTAATAGTATTCTAAGAATTCTGAGCACTAGCGCTCTATTTAGTCTTCTAGTCTGGGAAATCTTCAGAGCTGGTGTCCTAGTTTAACTACTTACCTTCTCCATTGGTTTTCCCACCACATAAAGTCAATATAACCATCATAGTTGTAATTGATTTAGGCAAGAATCATCAGTGAGTGCTAAATACAACTACTGGTGAAAGTTTGACAAGGAGCATAATAGTCATATAGTCTCAAAATATTTCCCCAGAAATTATGTATTACCTACAAAGGTAAGAACAAGAGTAACTTACAGTGGAGACCGCACCCATTCAGAGGCACTAATGTGTTCATTTTGCAGACTCAGCCCTTCCCAGTTGCTATTCCAGGCATAACCAAGGAAGGCAATATAATCTGCTGAGTTTTACCTAATGATTCAAGTCTATTAATACCGGGGTCTGCCTCTCACAGTAGTCCCATCTTCCTCTCAGCCTGTCTGTGTTGACACCATCTCTAAGTAGGTTATTTGCCTGGGTTTCTTTTCCTGTGCCAGGGAGCTCTGCTAGAGACCTGACAGTTTATCTAGACTCTGCCAGCCTTCTCTGAGCAGGCTGAACCATGTCACTCATATCTACTCCCCACTTCTGTCCAAATCCAAACAGTGATCCTGAACCATAACACCATCAACTTCAAGCCTGTACATAATTCTGTATTCTAGAATGGTTTCCTTAGAGTTCAGAGGTCTGCACCTAACTCAGTCTGGAATGCCAGTCACCGGTGGAGGAGACAGTTCTCACACTGCAACCCCTCCTCCCGGTCTAAAGAAAGCCATATGCAATACCTTAGCCAAAACTCTGCTTCATAAGAAGGTTCTATTTTAGTGAATATCGTTTTTAGATAGCTGAAGATTTAATCCCATTATATAACTCAAAGAGTCTTCCAAACTCTCCAAAGCAAAATTAATTTTCATTTTAAACATTAAAATGCTTTACTAATATTCTTTTGGGGAAAAATAAAAAATTAAAAGTTTTAAATCACAGAAAACATAAGGAATTCTAGTAGACTCTCTCTACTAGGAAGAAGGCTGCATACCCTAATATAATGCTCAGAATATAGAGCTTGATCTTATTTGCCATGTATACCAGGAGCTGGAAGGGGAGTTGTGGAAATTAAGCCCAGCACATGATTTTGAGAGGAGAGCAAGCAGACAGACAGGCTACCTTTATGAAGTGGTGATCTGCACGTGGGATTGTTGAATCTCTGGGCTTGGTCAAAATATACTGGTTGTTCTGGGAGTCAATCAGCATGCTAAGACCTAAGTCATCTTCCACTTCCCGCTTAGTGAGATTTTGCTTGGAGTTGGCCTCTTCTTCCTCCACCCTCAGAACTGCCTCAAAATTGACGCCTTTGACCTGGAAGAATAACCAGTATTATGAAATGAAAACCAATAAAATGTTTTCAAGTTCAATATCTAGAGAATAAATTCTACGCAGAAGAATAATAGTTATGTTTTTAGAATTTTGTCAAATGTGAAGAAAGATCAATAACTGTTCATTAGCATTCATTTGAAAATTTTCAATTACGAAAGTGATTTTAAGGATGGAAGTGTTTAAGATTTCTATTACTTCTAAATACCTACTTTACCTAATTCTGCAGGTGACACTGTGATGTGTAAAAATACAGGGGTAGGCAAAAGTAGGTTTACAGTTGTGAGTACATCATGCAGTTTATTCTGGTAATAGCATCATCATAGCCTGCATGACTTTTCCATATGAACTGTAGACCCACTTTTGCCAGCCCCATAGGTCTTCATCCCCTTTCCTGGCTTACAGCTCCCCAAACCCATGTAATTCTCTAAGTGATAATGAGCGATGGGAACATCTCTTGTTATATTCGGTCCTTTGTCCTTGGTTCCTGAGATAGCTCCCGAGTGAGATGAAAGAAGTATCTTATTATTAAGCACAAGCCCTAGCAACCTTACCTGAGTTTATATTTGTGAGGTGCTATTTGGAAAGCCCTTAGATAACCGCAGGACTGGGCTGGTCATCAGAGGAACTAAGCATATGATGAGAGGGTTGACCTTTCAGCCCTACCCAGACCTCCAAGAGGGAAGAGGGGCTGGAGACTGAATTAATCACAGACCTACATAATGAAGCTTCCTTGAATATCCTTCAAGACCGGGGTTCAGAGGGCATGGGAGCGCTATACTCTTTCCTCACACCTTGTCCCATGTACCTCTTCCATCTGGCTCTTCCTGAGCTGTATCCTTTAACTGGCAATCTAGTAAGTAAACTGCTTTCCTGAGTTCTGTGAGCTGCTTTAGCAAATTATGGAACTCGTGGAGGAGGGTTGTGGGATCCTCCAAGGTGACAACCTGAGACTTGGGGTCGGTGGTTGACATTGAGGGGACAGTCTTGGACTGAGCCCTTATCTATGGGGCCTGTGCTGAGCCCAGGTAGAGTCAGAACTTGAGAGCTGTTTGGTGGGGGGGGTGGGGGGAGGGGAGCGAGGGGAATCCTGATGCCCTAGGACAGTGGTTGGCAAATTGCGGCTCGGCAAAGCGCGGCTCACAAGCCACACGCGGCTCTTTGGCCCCTTGAGTGTGGCTCTTCCACAAAATACCGACTTCTGCGCATGGGCCACGAAGTTTCAATCGCACTGTACATGAGCGCCCGCACGTGGTATTTGTGGAAGAGCCATACTCAAGGGGCCAAAGAGCCGCGTGTAGCTCGCGAGCCGCGCTTTGCCGACCACGGCCTTAGGAGATCAGAGTGTTCAGGGAGCAGTGATTAAAGGGAGTGCGTGTTTTACTTTCAAGGGCATATTTTTTTCAAAAATTCATACCCCTTAAAATGCTTATGAGTTCTCCTCCATCCCATAATTAGAAAGTTTTAAAAACACCCCATTCCTTTCACTCAATTTTCATTCTCCCACCTTTTTCCTCTGAGCTTGTTCTAATTTGTTGGTTTTTTCTGGTTTTTTGTTTGTTTTCCTTTTTATTACCTAACCCATTTCTGAGTCCATGCCAAGACTCACCATTTTCAACACTAATCTCACTTATTCCCCCAAAGAATCCTGAACATGTAACAGTGAGCAGTCTAAAGTCTTGCTTCTGATATGCAGATCATTTCCTATAAGGAGTTTATTGCTCCTCCAGCCAGTTAGCATTGAAACCCAACAGTCCAGAGCAAGCCTTCTTGAAAAGAGTCCCAATCCTCTTGAGAGCACAACTGGGAAACAAAGGTGAGCCACTGAGAGGGGACTGACAAAACATGAGCAAATAAAGGGTAACTAGTGTACTTCTGCAGCACCAAGCCAAATTATTTTTATATTTTAGTTTTCTTTGTTTTTGATCTATACTAAACATATACATGCAAACCATTTCAATAACACATCCTTTCAGTAAGCAGCTCGGTCTCAGCAGGTGAAGAGGAAGTGGTTCTAGAATGCTACTTACTGATTTATTGTCATCAAAAGCGTGTTCTTCTATTTCCTCCTCTAAACGGTCAGCTGCCTTTCTTACATCTTCAAGAATTTCATCAAGCATGGATAAACTTTTGTTTTGATGTTGCATATTTTTAAGGGCTTCGACTTGATGTTTTTCTGCTGCCAGAAGTTCCACATATTCTGTCTCTTCCTATTCATTTGTAAGAAATAAAGAATGGGGTTTATCAAAAAATAAACCAGAATATCACTTTGATTCAGGTACCTGGTCCAACCACACCAACACACTCTATCCAATATTCCTGCTCATAAGTGTATTATTCTAGCTCCCGTCAATTAGGGAAAGTCAAGGACCGCCATCCTATATTCAGTCCGTCATTGAAGGGCACACTGTTATGTGGCGTATGACTGTATTTCTACCCAAAATGCCATACTTTGGTAAAGAAAGTTTAATAAATCTGCATCTTCTCTACTTTTTAAGCTATGTAATAATACCATAGTCTTTCTATGAAGATGAAATTATATTTTATATATTTTAAGTGCCTGGCACCTAATACATGGCTTAAATGATGGCTATAAGAGATTACGTAATAAATATCACATCTGGCACAGTAATAGTTTCTTCTCGTTTTAAAAGTATACTTCATCAAAATCCTTGAAGAAAGTCAACCTTCACACAGAAAGTAATTCTTGTTAGAAATTCAAAATGTTGGCTGCAGTTACAAATATATTTATTTCCACATCAGTTTATGGCAGTGGTCGGCAAACTGTGGCTCTCGAGCTACATGCGGCACTTTGGCCCCCTGAGTATGGCTCTTCCACAAAATACCACGTGCGGGCGCGCACATACAGTGCGATTGAAACTTCGTGGCCCATGCGCAGAAGTCGGTATTTTGTGGAAGAGCCACACTCAAGGGGCGAAAGAGCCGCATGTGGCTCGCGAGCCGCGGTTTGCCGACCACTGGTTATGGGATAACTTCAGTAAGTATTTCAATGACCCAAGTATTTCACAATACAGAAAAGCATGAGAGATTGACTCCTTGTAGAAGTGGTAAAACGTAACTACGCTAAGATATTATGAAAAAGGAAAAGATTCTCCTACACAAGAGATTTTCCCTGGGCATGATCATTGTGAACAGGGGCCCCCGGCAGACCACTACCCCTGTGCATCAGCCCCCCTGCATCTCCCCTTCCCTCTACTGCCTAGCTCAGAATGCGAATGGCTCTTCCGGTAAATGAGTGAGATGGCTAACCTTTATGGCAGCCTCTCTCAAGGCCTCCAGGCGCTGCCGGCTGCTCTCTTTCATGTTCACCACGTCTTTGTAATCTCCCTGCAGGGCTCTCTGGAGCCCATAGATAGCCTGGAAGACGGAATTTTCACTTTCATTCAGCTCTTTTTGAAAAATTTCAAACGTGTGCACCTGGAACAGCTTCTCCTCATCCGACAGGCCGGTGTCTTTTTCCACGGCTCTGATGGCGCTTTTCAGCTTGTTGAGAACCACGGTCTTCTGGCGGAGAAGCCCGGAGAGCTTCCTGCAGCTGTCTAGGACCCACTGCTTCCTCTGCGTGATGGCTGCCCCCTTGCCGCGGTGTAACTTGATGGCGTGTTTCGCTACCCCTTCATGTTCCGCAGCATTTGCTATCAAATGAAGCAATGGGAGCAACATCCAGAAGTAATTTCTTTCCAATACCTTCATGATCCAGTTTTAGAGGACAGGGCAAGGCAGGCCACAGATTTCTGCTAAGCTGAGCTTGCATTTTAGATACACATTTTCAGCTGAAAACAATAAAGAGGTTTATTACTACATATACTTCAATGATGATTCATCACTACTGAAATCAGAGTTAAAGTATTAAATAATTACATCCAGAAAACTATCACTGTTCTGAAAAAAGTTATTTTTTTCTATATTAATATTAACATCAGCACTATTTATTGCACTGAGGTTAAATTCAAATACTGAAAGTTAAAGTATGTGCCTGGTAAGAACTGAGACTAACGGTTATGTCTGAATTTAAAAGAAATATTTTTAAAGAAGAAAACTCAGCCTCATATATCTACTAAGTCTACCAAGTGCAAAAGACAAAACCACTTCTATGTAAGAGGCTCATGTATCAAAGACCAGACACTTTACAAATCAGTGAACCACTGGGGGAAGCATGCTCCAGATCATTCCAGACATGATATGCTTTGAGGTACTATTAGCTTGCTTTGCCATATCATTTGCTTTCCAAAATCAGTTGGAATTTTAATAGATTTCCAAAGTCAGTCTATTAAGTGCTAATGAGATATAAAGGATAGACAATAAAATCTCCAAATATAATCACATCTGGGTCTCTAGGGCTTTATAAAACATTTAAACATTTCCAATCATCCAAATTCAGGCTCCATCCCTTTAGGAAGGCCTCCATCAATGTGTACGATTTTATCTGGCAACTGAAGCACAGAAAGGACCCTGGACACACAAGTTGAAGGTTTCAGCACAGGCAGCAGAGGGAGCTGCAGCTGTGGTGTCCAGATTAGAAGGCAGGAAAGCTTTATCAAGGAGCAGGATGCAGCTGTGGCAGCAACATCACTAAGAAAAAATGACCTCAGAGGTAGTAGAATAGACTAAAGAAGGACAAAGTAACAAATGCAAGAGAGGCCAGTAAGATACACCCTAAAAAATACCCACTTAACCTGGCAGCTAGGAGCTCACTGGGCACAAGAGCATAGGCCAAAAAAGAAAACAAAACACAATTTTACACAGGAAATAAAACATTCACATACACCATCTAATCGTTCTTAATAGTAGCATCCAGTGCATTATCATGTCAAGAATTCTTACTCAACTGTAAAATAAACCAATATTTCCCCTACCTGAGGCTCTGTTTACTAAAATATTTAGTGATACTTTAATTTCACTGATAATCCTAATTCTAATCAGTTTAATGTGGTTTCCCAGGCAAAGCAGATTAAATGCAGCAAATGTAAAAGTGTGGTATTTCTACAGCTAGAATTCTGACCAAACCCAGAAAGACAGCCAACAGAGAGTGCAGACAAAACAGAGCTTCGGAAAAAGAAACACAAGAACTCAGCAAAGACTAGCAGCCCAGGTGACCTGGTGAGGGCCGAATTGTTCTGTGCACTTCAGCAGATCCTAAAAATACCACTACTTGAGGCTAGGAGAGCCACCAAGGTTCAGAATGACAATGAAAAGTCACCAAAAAAAAAAAAAAGACTATATTTTGGTTAAAAAAGTCAGGAGACTATTCAATTTCAATACATTTTTAGATACTTCAGCTCCTAATGTTACAAGAATTCACTTACCTAAAACAGTTCACGGCTTAATAAGACAGGATAAATGAGAACTTGCTGTTTGTTACAGTTCTAATACAATTTTAAGTAAATGTTCCCGCCTTAAAAGTAAATAAACGATTAACCAATCACAGTAATCCCTAGCAATATAGTTGATCTGTTAGTTTAATGACTCATTTAATTGCTAAGCTTCTATTGTACAAAGGGAGAGCAAGAATTGAATCGTTACTTCAGAAGTAGACACTTTTAGTATATTTCAGAACCAAAACAGATATATTTCAGAACCAATTTCAGATGCTTCATTAATGCCCCCCATTTCCCCACCAAAGTGATTTTTATGGATTTCAAACTTCAGAAAAATAACCTGCTGCATAGTTTGTGTGTGACTAACACCCCTTCTTTAATTCCTGGTTCCTTCCTTAAACAAGTCCCTGAAATTAAATAGCTATTCCTCTAAACCAGTGATGGCGAAGCTTTTGAGCTCGGCGTGTCAGCATTTTGAAAAACCCTAACTTAACTCTGGTGCCGTGTCACATATAGAAATTTTTTGATATTTGCAACCATAGTAAAACAAAGACTTATATTTTTGATATTTATTTTATATATTTAAATGCCATTTAACAAAGAAAAATCAACCAAAAAAATGAGTTCGCGTGTCACCTCTGACACGTGTGTCATAGGTTTGCCATCACTGCTCTAAACCATAATACCCAAGGGAGTTATTAATTTTTATGAGAAATGTTTGAGAATTTATTTGTAGTCAAACTAATATTTCCACTGAAACAAGCTTAAATCATCAACATGAAACTGAAGTTTTTTATAGACCCTTAAAATATGAATCACTCCTTTTTCATAAACTCATTTTTCCTTCAAACTTGGCTACCAAATCCTATGGACTACTAAATTGTAACATGTTTTTTCCTGAGTGAATAGTAAACATTTTTAGCGTCAGGGTTATTTTGTTATTGTTATATTTCATTACTAAAAAGACACTTTTGGGATTTGTTGCGTTTTTTATAACAAATTCTTCAAGTTTCTGTATCTTGAACTACTGATACATACAACCTGGAACAGATCTCAAGCCTGTCACGCGCACTGCACGATTCCATTTACACAGCGCTCTTGAATGACAACCTGTAGAGCTGGAGAACAGATTGTGGTTGTCAGGGACGGGTGAGGAGGTGGTAGTTACTATAATAAGGTAGCAGGAGGGACCTGCGGGACAGGAATGTTCTGTGTCTTGACAGTGGTGTGGCCACACAAATCTACGCATGTGATACAACTGTACAGATCCTGACACACACACACACACACACATGCATGTCATACTGGTGCAATCTGACTAAGGGGGTGGATTATACCAATGCAATTTCCTGCTTATGCTAGTTTTGTAAGGAGCTACCATTGGGGAAAACTGGGCAAAGGGTCTACAGGATTTCTCTGCATTATGTCTTACAACTGCATGAGAATCTACAATCACCTCAAAATAGAGTTTTAAAATTTCTACATAAATGTTTACTTTTCCCCACTAAATCTTTATTACGTGTAATGACCACCATTTACATTGCAGAGCAAGAAACCAAGCCCATGACATTTTTTCATATCTTTAAAAAACTAGAAAATGCCCTAAAACAGAGCCAGAGTCATCATTTTCAGGATGACTCGGCTACAGTAAAACCCTAGGTTACTTTTCACTTAGAGCAATAGCAAATTCAATACTTTGAGCACAACCCTTCCCCCAAAGTTTCTATTTGAAAAGTTTCTATTCCAACATTAATTAAAATATATCTCCCGACCGGGCCTGAGTGGCTGTTTGGTTGAGCATCCTCCCGTGCACTGAAGACTTGCTGGTTCAATTCCTGGTCAGGCACATGCTTGGATTGTGGTTTTGATCCCTGGTCAGGAAGAGTACGGAAGGCAACTGATTAATGTTTCTCTCTTCCTTTATCTAAGCACTAGAGGCCCGGTGCACAAAAATTTGTGCACTCGGGGGGCGGGGGTCCCTTAGCCCGGCCTGTGCCCTCTCGCAGTCTGGGACCCCTCGGGAGATAACGACCTGCTGGCTTAGGCCTGTTCCCGGGTGGCAGAGGGCAGGCCTAATTCCTAGCTACAGCCCCTGGTTGGGCTCAGAGCAGGGCCAATTGGGGAATTGGGGCACCACCTCCTGTCATGCACAGAGCAGGGCGGATTGGGAGGTTGCAATGCCACCCTCAGTCACGCTCAGGGTAGGGCTGATTGGGGGGTTGGGGCACCGCCCCCTGTCACACTCAAGGCAGGGTCGATGGGGAGGTTGCGGCGCCACCCCCTGTCACGCACAGAGCAGGGCCAATCAGGGGGTTGGGGCGCTGCCCCCTGTCACGCACAGAGCAGGGTCGATCAGGGGGTTGGGGAGCTCCCCCCTGTCACGCACAGAGCAGGGCGGATCAGGGGGTTGGGGCGCCGCCCTCTATCACCCACAGAGCAGGGCCAATCAGGGGGTTGGGGCACCGCCACTGTCACACTCAGGGCAGGGCCGATGGGGAGGTTATGACTCTACTCCATCACACACAGAGCAGGGCCCGTGGGGTGGGGGGGTTGGGGTGCCACCCTCTATCACCCACAGAGCAGGGCCGATCAGGGGGTTGGGGCACCGCCACTCTCACACTCAGGGCAGGGCCAATGGGGAAGTTATGGCTCTACCCCGTCACACACAGAGCAGGGCCCGTGGGGTGGGGAGGTTGGGGCGTCGCACCCTGTCACACACAGAGCCGCAGGGCGATCAGGAGGTTGGGGAGCTCCCCCCTATCAGGCACAGAGCAGGGCCGATCAGGGGGTTGGGGCGCCTTCCCCTGTCAGGAACAGAGCAGGGCCGATAGGGAGGTTGTGGCCCCGCCCCCTGTCACACACAGAGCCACAGGGCGATCAGGGGGTTTGGGCGCTGCCCCCTGTCATTCTGATCCCGGTGCCGGGAGACCTCGCGGCTCTGCTGATCCCGGTGCTGGGAGGCATATTACCCTTTTACTATATAGAATAGAGACCTGGTGCATGGGTGGGGGCTGGCTGGTTTGCCCTGAAGGGTGTCCCGGATCAGGGTGGGGGTCCCCGCTGGGGTGCCTGGCCAGCCTGGATGAGGGGATGATGGCTGTTTGCAGCTGGTCACACACCCTTCAGGGTGGGGGTCCCCACTGGGGTGCCTGGCCAGTCTGGGTGAGGGGCTGAGGGCTGTTTTCAGGCTGGGACTGAAGCTCCCAACTGCTCCTTTTTTTCTTTTTTTCTTTTTTTTATTCTGGGCCAGCTTTAGCTCTGAGGCTCCAGCTCTTCGGCCTCCGCTCCTGAAAGCAGGTATCTGGTTTGTTTAGGTTCTACAATCGAAACTCTGTATCAACTCCAGGTCTGAGATCCCGGCTAGCTGAAAGCTGGTTTCTGGGGTTTTGATTAGCTTCTATTTTTGTAACTATGTTTCAAACTGCCAGCTCAGAGGCCTGCAGTGGCAGGCGGGGAACGTTGGAGTCCTCCGTCACTGAAGCAAGCAAGCCTCATGTTCAGTTTAAGCTGCCTGGCTGCTGGCCGCCATCTTGGCTGGCAGTTAATTTGCATATCGCCCTGATTAGCCAATGGGAAGGGTAGCGGTCGTACGCCAATTACCATGTTTCTCTTTTATTAGATAGTATGTCCTCAGGTTAGGATTAAAATAAATAAATACACACAAACACACACACAATTTCCCCAACTTATCAAATTTCTGATGAGTTTTGCTTGTTTTTGTAAATGCAGAACAGGAATCTCAAAACTTTGAAACTGATAAGGTTATTTGATTAAGAAGAATAATATTTGTAATAAATGTCTTGAATGATTTAGAATAAAAGGGCAAGTGGGATTACCATTAAGCTTACTCAAAAGAACTTCTGATACTTTAAATTCACTGTCATTTTACATTAAAATCACATTACTCTTATTCTATAGAAAATTTTTAGCAATTCAGAAGTGTCACAAATCGTTTATTGGATAAATAGCTGAAAAGCAAAGCATAAATAATGTAGCCTCAGATTAGGCTTTTTCAGAACAAAGTCACTGAAGTTAAAGATTTCTCCCATACACCTCTAACAGTGAGCCCCCTCATGACTATAGAGTATGTGAGGAAACTTTCTTCTCAGACACCTGCTGCTAGGACCCCCAGAGCCCAGATCCCTAGGGTTATGGAGGCCAACAGAGGGGAACCGAAGCAGCTAGTCTTTTTTCCACTTTTTATAATGGGCTAAAATTTGAAAACCTCGCAGCTCTGCTGCCCAGCCTTCCTTTGCTTCTCTTCCTCTGGACCTTCCAGACCAGTGGTCACCAACCTTTCATACCTCATGGACCACCAGTTGGCGACCGCTGTTCCAGACCACTCAGATTTACCAGATCAACTGCTGAAAAAGAGTCTAGTTTATTCACTGCACTAGTGCAGCAGCACTGTCTGCCTGGCACAGGCCACCTGCTCCCCACAGTTCACAGGACAGCTCAAGTGGGGATGCTAGCCCCACTCACCCAGCTAAACCTGGCCCCAGGTGTGGGGGGTACTGACCTGGTGCTTGGGCTATGTGCAGGAAATTCTGGAGCAAGCAGTGTGGGTGTGGCAGAAACAGAGGGTCTACCAGTTATTTAGCTTCCTCTGAAAAACTAAAATATGAAGAATATTTATATTTAACTAGAGGCCTGGTGCACGAAATTCATGCGGGGGGGGGGGGGAGGTCTTTCAGCCCGACCTGTGCCCTTTCACAGTCCAGGAGCCCCTCGATTGATCGCCCCTGCAGAGGGAGGCCCCACCCACCTGCCATAGCCTACCCGTCAGTGGCCTGGGCCTCCCTCTACAGGGCTATAATGGGGCAATGGCTCGGCCCCCGACCAATCGCACCCGCCTTGGCTGGCCTGGCGCCAGTGGGTGTCATAGTGTGGTTGTCTGGAAGGTTGCTTGGCTGTCCAGTCTAATTAGTGTATTATGCTTTTATTATTATAGATTATTATAGATGCTTTAAAATCAGAATTTCTTCATGATACCACTAACACTTCCAGGTTCAGCAAAAAACAGTAACTGAACAGGTAACAAAGGAGGAGCTCGTGGAAAGATCTAGTGAGGAAACTCCCCAACACAATCTACTGCAATCTAATTTATGGAGGATTTAACTTAAAAAGCTTATTTTAAAATGTAACAAATCAAAGGATGTAAAGTGAAAAATAAAGCACTTACTATCCTGAAAATAGAATCTATAGTTATTCACATTCAATTAATAAAAGAATTGGAAAATTAGTTAAGAAAGGGAGAAAGAAAATTCTTACAGACATTAAAAACCTTCAAGGTATTTAATTGTTAATTAAACTCTACAAAAACGAAATATTCCATCGAGTGCTCCAATCATTGAGACACTACTTTAAAAAAATTAATATTGCAAGAGAAATCTGGAACCTGTAAGATGCTCTGACCCAAAGAATAACCAGAAAAAAAATGGATAAATATGAAAAGGCTGGGCTACCTTAGAGCGTGTGTCCCAAGGGGTGTTGAAAATGGCCATTACATTGACTCAGGTGATATCAGGTGAGACCCAAAAATAACTGAGCCCCAGGGCCTAGAAGGAGGCTGGAGGCCAGCGACCTGCCTTTGCTCTTCCTTCAAGCCAGAAAGCAGGACTTGGGGAATAGGAAGGGAGCTGCAGGAGTCCTGGGGGTGGGAAGGGAGCTGAGGAGTCCTGGGGATGGGAAGGGAGCTGCAGGAGTCCTGGGGGTGGGAAGGGAGCTGAGGAGTCCTGGGGACGGGAAGGGAGCTGAGGAGTCCTGGGGACGGGAAGGGAGCTGAGGAGTCCTGGGGATGGGAAGGGAGCTGCAGGAGTCCTGGGGGTGGGAAGGGAGCTGAGGAGTCCTGGGGACGGGAAGGGAGCTGAGGAGTCCTGGGGATGGGAAGGGAGCTGAGGAGTCCTGGGGACGGGAAGGGAGCTGAGGAGTCCTGGGGATGGGAAGGGAGCTGAGGAGTCCTGGGGATGGGAAGGGAGCTGAGGAGTCCTGGGGATGGGAAGGGAGCTGAGGAGTCCTGGGGATGGGAAGGGAGCTGCAGGAGTCCTGGGGATGGGAAGGGAGCTGAGGAGTCCTGGGGATGGGAAGGGAGCTGAGGAGTCCTGGGGATGGGAAGGGAGCTGCAGGAGTCCTGGGGATGGGAAGGGAGCTGAGTCCTGGGGATGGGAAGGGAGCTGCAGGAGTCCTGGGGAGACGTCGGGGACCCACACTGGCACCTCCCGCTTCCCAGCGGGAGAAGACGAGCTGGCCGCTGGGTTCCAGCCATTGCTGGGACCCCCCGGCGGGCCTCCGTCTTTCCTGGGTGACGGCCCAGAACAGCCAGTGGGCAGAAGGCACAGCGGTTCTCAACCTGTGGGTCGCGACCCCTTTGGCGTCAAACGACCCTTTCATAGGGGTCGCCTAAGACCATCCTGCATATCAGATATTTACATTACGATTCATAACAGTAGCAACATTACAGTTATGAAGTAGCAACGAAAATAATTTTATGGTTGGGTCACCACATGAGGAACTGTATTTAAAGGGCCAGAAGGTTGAGAACCACTGCTAGGTCGTCCGTGTGACCGTGTTGTTAGCCCGGCCACAGCAACGGGAACTCACACCTAAGTTAGGGTGCAGCGGCTGAGGTCTGTAAACCCGCCAGCTGTGACCTGCCCACTCGGCGGCTTCCCCAGCGTTACGCGTCCAGACTGCAGTTCGCGCCACGGCCCCACCACAGCCCCGGAACGCAATCCCGGGTGCACGGCCGGGGCCCAGTCTCCACGGGGGAAGGCGGCGAGGAAGGCTGACAAACCTCTCACCCCGCAGGCCACACGGGCAGGAGGCGAGATGAGAGCCGGGCGCTGGGAGCAGAAAGGCCCTCGTCCGTGGGACCCCCGGAGAGGAGAGAAGGGGAGACCCCGCCCCGAGGGAAGCCCCACGAAGGGAAGACTGCCGGGAGGAGAGACCTAGAGTGGAAGCCCCAAGGGCCCGAACTTCGGGCAGGACCGAGGCTCCAAGCCCCGAGCCCGAACCCCGTGCAGCACTCACCGGGATGCTCCGGACGCGCACGTCCTGGGTCCGGCTCTCCGGGGCCGGGTGGCGAAGGGTGGACAGGGACGCGGCTTCCCCGCATCCCTTCGCAGGCGGCGGGGCCGCCTCTGGTGCAGGGACAGGGACCGGGTCCGGTCACGGGGACGCCCCGAGCCGCCGACCCCCCTCTCCCGATCGCCGTCTCCGCAGACACGGTCAGATGGGAGTAGCTGCCCCTTTAAGGGGGTGGGCACCGGTGGCGACTCCAGGGCGGCGCGGTGCTCGCTGGGATTTGTAGGAGGGAGCGGGACCCGGCTACCTTGGGCCCCTGGGCGGCGCAGTGCACGTCGGGATTTGTAGGAGGGAGCGGGCTTGAGGACGGTCGGCCCCGAGTGGCCCGTCCACCTTGGAGTCGGAATTTGGGGCGGGGCGTGCGGGTCCCGCCGGGTCCCCGCGCGCCTAGCGCGTCGCGTGGAGGAGGGGCGAGGCCTGGGCCGGTCGGCTCCCGGGCGGATGGTGCACGCCGGGAGTTGGAGTTCGGTCGGCGGGACCTGTCACCGCCTCCCCTGCGCCCCTCCCAGGGCGGGTGTCCAGGGAGCCGTGGAAGAGGAAGGAGCGGCTGGAGCGGAGCGGGAGGCGGCGGCCGCGGCTCCTGCGCAGACGGCGGGGCCGGCGAGCAGCGGGGAACGCCGGGGAGAATGGTAAGTGGCCCGCGGCGTCGCTTTCTGCCCGGCCCCTTCTGCGCACCCGGGGCCGGGGGGTGGGGGGCGCGGGGGTCGGAGGGCCGGGGAGCGCCGGGCTCGAAGGTCACCGGAGCGGCGGGTCGCGGTCCGCCCTCCCGCGCCGGGGGCGCCGCTGGAGTAGGAGGGGCACGCAGGTGGGAACCGCAGGACCTGGGGCGAGCCCTGCGTGGTGACCTCAGTGCAGTGATGTGGTTGGACGGGATGGAGGCACCGGGCCAGCGTGGGGGCTCGGACCGGTGCTCCCCCGAAGCACGAGCCGCCGGGTGACCGAGGAGCGGGGACGTTCGTACCTACGCAGCATCCTCTCGGGGTGAAATGGGCACGACAGTGCCTCTGAGCGGTGCCGGCAATTCAGTTGTGGCCGGAACGTGGAGGTCGGGGTCCACCATGGCAGGGCTACACCCACAGGGCCTCTTCTCGGACGCCGAGTGTAGAGTTTATCGGGAGATAACGGGAGCCCTAGGAGGTTTTTTTTAAGAAGTGAGGTCGTGTGTGATTTGATCATGTTCGCATTTTATAAAAAAGCCTTTGGCGGAGAGGATAGGTTGGACCGGTGGTGGTCAGGGCTGCAGGGAGACAAGTTAGGAAGTTGTAATGATTTAGAGCAGAAGCGGTGAGGACTTGAGCCAGAGATTGTCTGTAGGAATAAGGGGGAGGAGGAGAGGGAGGGGGGAAGACTTTTAGGGAACTCTTCAGAAAGGGAGAATAAAGGAAAGAAAGGACTCAGCAGTTTCTGGCTTGGGCATCTGAGCAGATGGTGAGATTATTCAGCAAAAACAGAGAAGATAGAGGGGAGAAGAGATTTGTGCGGGAAGACTATGCGGTAGTGACGAGGGGGAAATAGAAGGGTCCTGTGGTTAGTTGGAAATAGAGATCGGGAGCTCAGAAAAGACGTCTCGGGAAATGTCTGATTACTTTGAAATGTAGTGGAAACCGTGGCCATCGGTGGGTTTCATCACGCAGTCAATAAACCCAGTGATTTCTCTTGGCGAGAGCGGTCGTGCGCAAGATGTTGGGGGTTTGATGGTGAGCGAGCCAGACGTGGGTTTGGTGTTCTGACCCGTGTCTGGCTAGCAGGGGAGATAAGCACTAAGCATGCAACTATTTTATTACAGTTGGGATAAGTGCTAGGGAGTAGCACAGGTTCCAGGAACCCTTGTGGTGGGGTGGGTGAGTGGTGTCCCATGCCAAGGCAAGGAAGGCTTAGCCAGAGTGTGAGCCGAGCTCTCGGAAATGAGGGGGATGCCAGGCACAGCCAGAGGTGAGCAGTACTCCCGGTGGAAAGAACAGAATAGGTGGTAGGAGGTCGGCCTGGCGACAGCACAAGGAGCCAAGGGAAAGTGGCACAGCAGGAGGCTTGTAAGGGGCCTGGAACCAGACTGTGCCGTCTTCTAGGGCAGAAAGAAAACGTTAGTCTCCGTCCTAATGGTACCGGAGGCCAGTGGGAAGGTTCCCAGCAGGAGAGAACTAGTCCTGGAGGAATGTGTAGGGGAAAGAGTGGAGGCCTGAGACAGAACTTCAGATTGGGAAGGTGGGCCAAGAAGGAGCCGATGACGGTCATGTCAGAGGAACGGGGAGACGAAAGAGAGTGGTCACAGAAACCAAGAGGGGGGCGGTCAGCGGTGCGGCCAGGAGGCACTTGCTGACGTGGGCAGGATGTGGCCCCCTCAGCAGGCAGAGACCACTCTCTCCAGCGCTTCAGGGGAAGGAAGGCTTAACTTGCAGAAGAGCACGGTGCAACCACTGCCGAGGCTGGAGATCCAGGAGTGTGAAACACTGAATTTACCACCACCCCCAGCCTGAAACAAAGTCCAAGTGACCAAGTTTATGTCATTAATTTGATTATTATGGTTGCCCTGGCAGCCCTAGTAAGTTGACCCTAAGAGAAAATTCGTTGTATTAGGTGGAAGGGCATTCATTGTAAGAATAACTTGTGTGTGTTTTTTTTCGTTTTATGTGTGGTTAAGTCTTGATGCCCAGATTATGTAAATGATTTTTTCACAGGGTCATAGTTAAAATATTTGAGACTTTTTCTATAGGTTAGGGATTTTATTTGCTGTTTCTACTGGATTATCCAGGTTTTTAATTTCAAGAATTGTGTACATTTAATATTCTAAAACAATGAAACATAGAAAATGTCCCTCTCCCCCCTTAAAAGCTACATTAATTTAATTCTCTTGACAGGGTAAGCTCTGGTCCTGCCAATTTATGGATTTAGTGCTGTTTAAATAGACCAGAGCTTTCTTCTTTCCCCTATAATGAATTCGTTTATGAGGCTTTTTCTTCTAGACAGCTTTATGCCAGTTCCCTTTTTTACAAATTGCAACTTGCAGTTTGCAAATTTAGCATACAATCTTTAGACTTAGCTTAATGATTTTTGTTTTTAATTGCTATTATTTTGTGGAGAAACTTGTAATGGGTAACATCAAATTGTTACAACTTTAATGATAGTTCCCTTGCTTTTCATTCTAGCCAGAGACTTATGGGCTATACTTAGGCCCATGGCTACTGTTGCCCATTAAGAACTAGCACCTTCATAGCACTTAGAGGTTCAAGGTTGTGGGATCTGTCTTATGACATAGCAGTCACTTGGAATAGATGGAAGAGGGATCTATTTATTTCTCTTAACTGCAGGTCTACCCATTTTTTAATTTATAGTAACAGTTCAGACCACTTTGTGGGCCTGGGTCCATATACTCCTGCACCTCTTCCAGGGTTTTCAGGAAGCATTCTCCTTTACACGTTGATAGAATTTTTTGTCACATATTAGGAAAGGCTTCAAGAGCAGATTATCAAGAAAAGTGCCTTGAGATCAGGCATCACCATATCTTCCAGCTGTCTGTCAACACTTGGTATGGGTCTACCAATTATATAAACTGGTTAAATAATTAAGTTACCTGACAGTATGCTACTCTGTTGATTAATCTAGAAGGTTCCAAGGGTACGATTGGGAATTTTCTTTTGAGGTGGGATCTATATAACATAAAATTAACTATTAAACAGTAAGGAGTTTTAGTTGCATTTAGTACTGTTTAGTACAATCACAACGTTGTACTACTACCACCAGCTCTGTATATTTCCAAACATTTTCATCACCCCCAAGAAAATCCCACATTCATTAACACTCACTCCCCGTTCCCCTCACTCCAGCCCCTAGCAGTCACCAGTCTGCTTCATTCAATCTCTGTGGACTTGTCTCTTCTGGATATTTCATAAAAATGGAATTATTCATTATGTGACCTTTTGTGACTGACTTCTTTCACTCAGCATATTTGCGAGGTTCATCCACATCGTAACATCAGTACTTTATTTCTTTTTATGACTGTGCTTCATTGTGTGTATATACTGAATTTTGCAACCATGACAAAATTTTTAAATCCAGCATTGATGGCAATTTCCATAATAAATATATCATGGTTATTTTTAATGGTGTGCCATTTTGAGATTGAACATCTGTTTCTATCTTAAGCTTTCTGAGGTAACGCTTGGCTTTGCCCACCCTCCCTTGGGGAGACGATCATAAAAAGATGCTAGCTTTATTTTTATCAGCTCACTATCAGAACTTATGGGATCTGCCCTAATTTAGATGAATTTGATTTTACCAAAGAATATACCTGGAACTCTTTTTTCTAGTTCTTTCCAAAGGCTCAATTTCAGGAAATAATGTATAGAATACATATTCCATGTATTAAACCTAAAATATAGGTCAAGATTGTAAACTACAGACCATAGGCTAGCTGCCTGTTTTTGTAAATATAATTTTTTTTAATCCTCACCTGAGGATTTATATTGATTTGAGAGAGAAAGGAAGGGAGAAAGAGAGAAAGGAAACATCGATTGGTTGCCTCTTTTATACACTCTGACCAGGAATCCAACTCGCAACTTTTTGGTGTAGGGGGTGATGCTCCAACCAACCGAGCAATCCGGCCTTGGCTGCAAATAAAGTTTTATTGGTGCACAGCATGTGCACTCATTTGCATGTTGTAAAGGGCTGCTTTCACTGCAATGGAAAAGTTGAGTAGCTGCAATAGAGACCAATCAGCTCCTGATCTTGCTCATCAGTTGTTTGTTTGTTTTTTTAAAGTGCATTTATCTGCATTTTAAAAAATTCATTTCAGAGAGAGAAAAGGAGAAGGAGAGATAGAAACATCAATGATGAGAGAGAATTGAGAGTCATTGATCAGCTGCCTCCTGCACACCCCCTAGTGGGGATTGAGTCTGAAACCCAGGAATCAAACCCTGACCAGGAATCAAACCATGACCTCCTGGTTCATGGGTTAACACTCTACCACTGTCACACTAACCAGGCATCAGTTTTTAAACGGAGTTCCACCTTCCCCTATCCTCTGAGGAACCAATAGATGGGCTTAAGTGTTCTGTGACAACCCTGAGATTATATGCAAAACTGCATGCACATGTGTGTACCACATGTACCACATATGTGTTCCTGGAGAAAGTTCTGTGACTTTCATCAGATTCCAGATGGGACCAAACACCCAAAATGATCAACATTGTTCTTAGTAGCCAAATCGTTAATTTTCTGTGTTACCCTAGATCAGTTCTCAAACGTTTTAGTCCCACGGCCCCTATACGCTTTGAAAAATTATTGGGACCCCAAAGAGCTTTTGTTTATGTG